CTCTCCCCATCTTCACTGCAGAGAGACTCTGCCTCTCTGGGAGGCCCATTTTATGCCCAGTCATCTTACTGACCTGTTGCCAATTAACCTAATTTGCTGTGAGATATTCAACCGTGTTTTTTGTTTTAGCATTACATAACTTTTACAGTCTTTTGATACCTCTGTCCAACTTTTGAAATGTGTTGGTGGTATCAAATTTAAACTGAGCAAATATTTATCATAAAGCTAGAAAATTTCTCATTTGCTATGTTGTCTTTGTTCTATTTTCAATTAAATGTGTGATTATATGATTTGCAAACCATTGCATTCTGTTTTTATTTACATTTTACCCAGTGTCCCAACTTTTTTGGAAACAGGGTTGTAAAATACTATTTATACTTCAAACGCACTGTGTAGCCTTAAACCCCCGACCTTTGAGAGGTAAGGCAACAGTGCTACTCACTGCCCCCCCCATGCCCTTCATTTGTGTGTCTGTTGTTAGTCTTAGTTATAGTAGTGGGATAAGGTTCTGGGAAGATCAGGAAAAACTGGACACTTTGAATGTTTCCGTGCCTTATATGTTACATTCGGTAAAATTTCTAGAATAAAAAATTAGGTAATATTTTACATTAACTGCACCTTCGTAATGCATTCATAGAACATTCATATGCAGCATGTAAGTATACTTTAGCATTCTAACATGCCTTAACAGTTTTAAAATATATTAATAACAAACATTGTAATTGTATAATCATATAATGTTTTTTATTAGTGAATATTAAAGCTGTTAAGGCAAGTTAGGATGTTAAGGTATACTTACATGTTGCATATGAATGTTCTATGAATGCATTATGAAGATGCACTGAATGTTCTATGAATGCATTATAAAGGTGCAGTTAATGTAAAGCATTACCAAAAATTGTTAGCGGGAAAGGCAGCCCCAAAGGCAGAGAACTGTTTGTGGGCCAGATTACATATGAAGGCACTCATGAGACAGGCTAAAGATTACAGTGAATGGCCGCAGGAGTGCACAACCATCTGGAGAGTGATCAGCACGTCTAAGCTGTACATGGTGTTGTGGTGTGAGGATTCACTATTGTGGCGTGAGGCCACAGTGGCTGTCCTCTGCTTCTCCCCCTCTCAGTGGTTCAGCAGGATTACCTGGTGCAGAATGGAGTCATTCCCCGGCTGGTGGCCATTATGCAGGACTACCCCGAGAACGATCCGCTGGTTAACGTCTGCCTGCTGGCTCTCTGTAACCTCGCCGAGATGGGTGAGCAGCGAGCCGCCCCCCCAGCCCAGAAATAGAAGGGGGACTCCTAACATCACCCCACGACACTGAGGCGTGATGACAGGAAACACGCCTCTACGAAAACCATGACAAAGAATATATGATTGTGGATATTACATATAATTATAATGAAATTATATATCTCAGAGCTTTTATGTACAGATTAAGGGCTTCTTTTTGATCAGCTATTGCTAATTTGTTTACCGCTAAGCATGAGTGCATTTGCATGAGTAAAACCCACGAATAATGCCTGGAGGGGGAGGTAACGCTCACACTCATAATGAAACTGGCTTGTGATTCCCCCTGCAATGCGGGAAGACGTCCCACTAAAGCCTCATGAATCATGTTAACCGCTCAAATAGATAATTCATTTAACTGTGAAGATGGAATGGTCTGTAAAGGGATCCTCTGCATTAGCCTGAAAATAGACACAGTGGTGTGTTTGGTGGGGGATATGGGAATACCCAGATATACAGACAGGATAGCAGCCAAGGCTGTAGCACCCTTAAGAGACCCTTAATTTATGTTAAAATGAGCAACAGGACACAGTAATGAGGAGAATAAATGGCACCGAATGGTACTAAAGTGACGAGTTCCAGCACTTCCGGGATGATTAGCTGGGAATGAAATCACAGGCAATAAGAGGAATATCGCCAAAAGTGGATTATTTAGTCTATTCCAACACTGTCTAAGGTAGCATTAGCCCACGCCTGACGTGCCGTTAGCCAGGCCTAGCCGGGAGCCGTGTGAATCCATGTCTGATACGGCACCTCCCCCTGGCCACTTTCAGAATCTGCGCGGGAAGCCCTGGCGGAAGTGGGCGTGGCCGAGGCGCTGACCTGCCAGCTGCACCGTGCCTCGGATGCCGAGCGTCGCCACATCATCCTGGAGGTGCTGGGATCGCTGGGCGAGAGCGGTGAGAGGTTGTGGGGTGGGAACAAAGTTATTTTCTGATGCTGGTGTATAGAGATGAGGGAGAAACCAGGACTTTAGCTTAATAAACCATAATGCTAAGAAACTGTCAGCTGAATGCAGACGTGGGAAATGCTTGTTAATTAATGCATTTAAGGCTTAAATAATACCAGTCCAAGGTCTATATTTATAGCTGGTAATCTGTCAGGCCTGGATCACCAGAAGTATAATGTGATTGCTTCGTATTAACAAAGGATTCAAAGGCTTCTCATGAGGAACATAGTCAAAGAGATGATTAAGATGCATCTGCACCCAAATGAAAGCTTCCAAATAATGTGATGCACAATCCGTCTGTGAAATGTGTCATCTGCAGTGACAGTGACTTCAGCTGCGTCTGTCATCTTGCTGAAGAGAGTGTAGAGGGAGGTGCTCATCCTCCATGTTGTGTTCCCTCCAAACGATGCCTCCATCCCCATGTTTTCAGATATGCTGAAACTGCAGTTTGTGGAGTCGGGCGTCCCGCAGGCCCTATCCGAAATGATCCGAGGGATGCATGGGGCTGCCGACGACTCACATGACCTCTGCAGCATCAAGATTGCTTCCAACCTTATCGTGTCCCTTCTGCTGGGAGGTGAGTCTTTTACAACTTGACGCTCCATATTACTGTACATGTCTGTCTCCATCCATACTGAGAAAACACATGGCAGCTAAACCATATTTTCATCTTTTGGGAGTCTTATCTTTCCTATCTATTATCTATAAGGACTTCTTTCTCAGTTATAGTCAAATGTAAAGAATCTTCTGCCAACGGAAAAGGCTTGTGTCTTAATAACCATTAAATCATAACTTGTTATTGTTCCAATCCTGTGACACATGACATCCAGTCTTGTGGCTTTGTGGCTAATCTCTTACCTGGAAAGCAATCCTATTTGCTTTACTGATCTGGTTTTCAGTCTGAAGATTTTCTAAGGTCTTCCTGAGCTCCTCTGCTGGTTGCCCGGGTCCTAGTGGTCTCTTGTATTACCTGTATCACAGATGAATCCATGCAGAAGTGTTTCGGTGAAGGGGCGGGCCCAGTGTACCGGGATGTTCTGTCCTGGCTGCAGTCTTCCAACACGCAGCTGCAGCTGGCGGGAGCCTTGGCGATCGCCAATTTCGCCCGGAACGGTGAGGCAGCTCACTGTGCAGTTTATGTCTGCATGTGTTTATCTGCAATGTGGATTAAAAGTCAACTTTCACAGGAGGGCCAGACTCGTACCATTTGGCACAAGGACAGGACATGTCATCAAACAGTAGCTACATGCAATCAGATGGGCGGTGACACAAAATGGCAGTAACATGATCAAATCCCCTCCACAGCCATTGCACAGAGCAGGCTGACGGGGATCGCTAAATGCCTTTCGGCCAAGATATGTAAGAAGTGACCTTGACAGAACTGCAAGAGTACACACTCCAAAAGCTCACCCTGCGAAGTGTCACACACCTGGGGCCAGAAAGCAGACGGCTAGACTCGCATCACAGCCTAACTCACTCACGCTGTTCACACCCTAGTGATTCAGTTTAAATGCTTTACCCTGTTGCCAGTATCCTGCCTGAATATGAACACGGACAACGGATCTCACACCACACACTAAAACAGTACTTCTCAACCATTGGGTTGTGACCCAAAAGTGGGTCGCGGAACTATTTTCACTGGGTCACAGATTGTGTGGTTAACAAAAATTATTTAGAAAAAAAATTTTGTGGTCGCAAATGATGCGCAACATCGTACCAGATATCTTTTTTTTTTTTGTTTTGTTTTACTGCCAGCACCCCCCCCCCAACCTGATTTTTGGTGAAACAAACAAACAAATAATAAATACAAACAAAAAACTTAGGGTTGTGACTTAATGCCTGAGGAGTAATGTGGGTCTTGTGCCTATACCAGCTGAGAACCACTGCACTGAAACACTTAACTGAAGGAGAAAGGTCTGATCTTACTGCTCTTCTCGGACAATCTGAGTGTCCTTGAGTAAGGCTAAATGCCAGATGCTCCAAGGGGTGCTACACCCTGACGGACTCCAGCTCTGACCCCAAAGGTGTGTCTCTCATGCAGTACAAGATGAAGTTATGCGAAACCCAAACAAGTACAAACTGTACAAATGGCAAACAATGCATATATTTTATTTCTCTGCTCAGATAGCAACTGTGTGAAGATGCTGGATCTCGGTGTGGTCCCTCACATCCTAGACCTGCTCGAGCGGCACGTGGACCAGGGCGACGTGTCCGTCCAGCATGCCGCACTGAGCGCCCTGAGGAACCTCGCCATCCCAGGTGCCAGAGATGCTCCAAGCTAGCGATTCTGCATCTGCAGCACTGGGGCTCCATGCAGTGACCATTGAGTGTGCGGGCACCATTGCAGCCACCAACAAGGTGCGGATGCTGGAGGATGGCGTGGCGGAGCGGATGAGGGCCCTGCTGCGTTCCGACATGCCCCCCGTGCAGTTCAAACTACTTGGGACTCTCCGCATGATGGTGGATGGTCAGGGTAAGAGAATGGGTGCGGTCATATCTGATAGGGTGCCACCTTTCCGCATTAAACACTATTTGTAGCACTAGATACTGAAAACCCATGTTTACTAATCAAATTCATGTGAAAAATATCAATACAAGGACAGTAATCATCAGCAAAGAAGTATTGTATAAAGATTATATTACAAAATGGTCTTTTTCAATATAAACACATGCATACTGTAATGGCAGTTTTACTAGATTGCCCAGAGTGTGTAATTAGGTGTATGTGCATGTTGTGCAGTGGCCTGGCAGTCTATCTGGGGCGTTACCCTGTGACGATGGGATAATAGTCTGTCAAATTGATGGATGAAGATTGCAATTAATTTGTAGACCTCAGACACTTCACTTTACAAAAGACACTCAGCCTACCATCTAAGGTGCCATGTTTGAGGAATTGCTCATGCAAAAGCTCCTAATTATTGGCCTTGACAGTGTAATGGTACTTTGCCACCTGGCATACAGGACCCGGGCTGTACCCGGGGCGTAAACGGGCCCTACCCGGGCCGTACCGAGCCGTACCCGGGCTGTACCCGGGCCATACCACAAAGAGACACTAGTTATGGCGCGGTTCCAGCTTGTGTTGATTTTCCACTGCAGAAGGGTCGGCTCAGTAAAGGCGTTGCCGGGTTTGGAGAACGACAGTAAGAGATGCTTATTTACTGTTCACACGGTTTACATCGTGATTTACTATGTGCAGATTTCTGTTGCCAAGTCTGAAAATCTTATCTTAGCATCCAATGCTACTGGAATTAGCATTCACTTTTGTAAATTCCCATTACAAATAGCTGTTCTATAGTAGTTTAAGTAGGTAGGTAGAAATTTTCAAGCTCTGACTTATTAGGAATGCATCAGTATATCATGATATGCGATTCTACTAATAAAGAATAATATATAGAATAAGCCCTATTTCCCTTCAGATAATTTGACCAACCGGACGGTGATGAAGCAACCAGCTGGGTTTGGCCACGCTTTTGTCCCTGGTAGTAAGCAAGGCCATGTCAGTGCGAGTACGACTCGGGTGCAGCGCCGATCGTTTACAATGGAAACCCGTCAGTTTGCGGGACGGCTCAAGTACGGCTTGATTCTCGATGGCAGTGGGAAAGCGCCATAAGATGTTCGATTACAGTCACATAAAGAGCACGGTTCCCATGCAGCAGCCCGGGCCTGAGCTCTGCCGGCCTGATACCTCCAGCAGAGGCCTGCCTTCACATCAAGTCTCTTTCCAGTGTTATTACTGTGGCTCTTCCTCCGCGAGCTTCTGAGGAGAGCACAATAAGCTGCAGATCGCAGGCCGTGAAGCCCCCATTGTTCTGTCACACCAAACGACTAGGTACACATTGCAGATAAGTGCACACTGTGGAGGTGGGTATGGCCCTGTGACATTCCCAGCATGCCCTTCAGTCCCGCCCTCCATTGTCTTTTCAATTGTCCGCTCTCTGTCTCTCGCTCTGTGCATTTTCACTTTGTTATGTAACAGCAGAGAGGTGGTAAATCTGCAGTGTGGGACTGGGGGCGATGCTGTCCTCCTCTTACTCTCTGTCAGAGGAAGCGGCCACACTGTTGGGGAAAGATGAAGGCCTGCTTGCCCGGGTTATGCAGTGGTGTGAAGCCCGGGAGCATGCTGGGGTCAGGGGGGAGGCCAACCGCCTCCTGGCTGCTTTCATCAGACACAGCCGGGCCCTGGTGAGACCCCCCCCACATACACACACACATGCAGACAGACACACACATAGATTATTTTGAGGATGTCTTTAATCAGTATGTGACGTCACAACACGGTAATAAGATCATTTCAAAAATATTTCAGTCACTGTTACAAACGGAACAAGCCAACATACGTTATTGTGACGTAAAAAGCAGACACCCAGATTCCTGAAGATGATGCTATCACAGGGGAAGATGGACAGCTGGAATGGTGCTCTCCTACTAGCAAAGTCTCCTACCCCCCTGATTTCCTGACAGGATGTGATCCACGCTATTACCAAAGCAGATGGCGTACGACACCTCATCTCCATGGCAACCAGTGAGCATGTCATCATGCAAAATGAAGCTCTGATCGCCTTGGCGATTGCTTCGGCTATCGACATTGGTGAGGCCTAAAATTCCTCCAGAATTACGGATGCAAACCTGTGTGCAGCAGCCAATGTGAAATGTCAGGCATAAATAATACTGCGGCCTGCTATAGGTTTGAAAGTGAGCTAAATAAGAACATTTCCATCCTTTTCTTTTAGTGTTTTGCCTGCAAATAGAGAGAGATTTCCGAATAATACTGCAATGCAGTGTGTGTGTCCTGTTTGCAGGGACCATGGAGGGACCCTTCCAGGATGCCGGCCTGGTGCCCACCCTGCAGAAGATGCTGGATGACCCTGTGGGGGCCGTGGAGGTCAAATTTAGCACCATCGGGCTCATCTGCAGCCTGACCAACTCCAGTCAGTACTCAGCCTGGGCAATGGACCATTCATTCATTTACTGCAAAACCTTATTGATTATATACTGGACAGACGGTCTCTTCTTCTCTCTCCCAGGCTTGCTGAAGGAGGAGATGGAGTCTCTGAACCTGAGGGAGAGCCTGAGTGAGCTCTCAAACCACGCCAGCCCCAAGCTGGCCACCCAGGCTGACACGGCACTGGCCGTCCTCTCCCAAGCCAGCTAGACTGACCGCACTGCACCACTGCCGCCACCGGGACCCGACCCGACCTGACCTGGCTGGCGGTGGAAGGCGCCCTGCTGCTAGTCCTCAGAGACACAACAGAGCCCCACCATCCACCAGCTGGCCCCGGGCCGCACCGTCACACCGGAGAAACTGGGCGTGGAAATGTCCACCGAAAAAGCAGCAATGGGACAGGAAGGAGAGCTGCATTCTCATGGCTTACGTTTTAACCATTCCAGTGCTCCTTAGCAAGGATACCGAAACCCACTTAGATTTAATGACCGTGTACAAAAAAATAGCACAATGTATTAGCCACTAGGCATGCAGTGAGTACTTAAGGCTACATGAAAGTGTCTTTTAGCAGCCAGTTTAGTGTGTGCAGTGGTCTAGTATCTGTGAGGAGCGTCTCTGTCCAGTGTGTCCCTTTGTGCGTTACTGTAACAAAGCCTCCTCTGTTCCCTTAATAATTTCACATCATTGAAGTTTATTTTTAAGATAAGAAGTGTATATTTTAATATGTTAAATGATACTGAGATGTCTGCAATTAAATAAGGGGTTACGGAAAATGGACAGATGACGCTGTTATGTTATACAACACCACACTGTGGCAGGGAGACACTGGGACAGCTGCAAGGCAGCATACAGGGTAGACATTTTAAAACAAATTTGAGGAAGCACTTCTTTACACAGCGTGTAGTTAGAGTATGGAATAGTCTTCCTGCTAGTGTAGTGGAAGCTAAAACCTTGGGTTCCTTTAAATCAGAGCTAGATAAGATTTTAACAACTCTGAGCTATTAGTTAAGTTCTCCCCAAACGAGCTTGATGGGCCGAATGGCCTCCTCTCGTTTGTAAATTTCTTATGTTCTTATGTTCTTATGTTCATTTTCTGAAACCGCTTATCCTAGTCAGGATTGTGGGGGGTTTGGAGCCTATGGGCGTAAGGCAGGGAACAACCCAAAATGGGGCACCAACCCATCGCAGGGTGCACTCACACACCACAGTTTTGGATCTCCAGCTAGCCTCTGCATGTTTTTGGACTGTGGGGAGTACATGGAGGACCCCACAACGACACAAGGAGAACATGCAAACTCCACACACAGAACCCAAGCAGATACTCGAACCCAAGTCCCACAGGTGTGAGGTGACAGTGCTGACTACTGCAGCACCATGCCACCCCCAGGCATTTGCAGATATCATACAGGCACAAACTGGTATCTTTAAGGGCTGTGTGTTACCCTGAGGAAAACATACCCTCATTATGCCATAGCACTCATTATAAAACCAGATAATTATCTGCTGAAAGATAAGAAATGTGCGCGTCAGTGATACCGTACAGCAGCATGACTACACAGGGGCAGATAGTCTTTTTAACTGGTTTAGTCTTACACAGGAAATGACAGCCTAAAGTTGTATGCCCCTATTCCACCACTAGGTGGAGATATTAGCATTAATGTGATTTTACCAGAGGCTTGTGTTTGACGTCAGGAGCACTGAAACATTGCTGTGATTTCACACCTGTTCATCCCCAGGGTTAAGTGTGGTGAGGAATTAAAAGCTTTCGTGATAGAACGGGCCTAATTTAGAATAGCTTCTGTGTTTACTGAATACAAAGCACTGTGTTGCCTGGACCCAGTACTTCTCTTATTTAGATGCTGTGAAATTCATAAAAAGAGGAACACAAAATCATGCCACTGCAGTTTAATATTTATACAAGGACACAGTATTTGTCTGTTATCACGCTGCTTCAAAGCAGCTGCTAATTTTATGCATTAATGCCACTGGTTACTTGATAATGCAGATTTCAGTGCTTTTGCAAACCTATGCTGTGACTTCAACCAGGAACCTTTTGGATACAATGGGGTGTCGTCCCTCCCACAGTGAGACGAAGGGGTGATCAAAGCAGCTGTGAACAAGCTAACTGGCATGGCAGATGGGAAACATCTATTGGGACAGATGGAGGGAAGAATCAGAAAAAGAGAGAAGGAAAGGAGAGCTGGAGCCGAGAAGGAAAGGGGGAAGTGGAAAAAAGTGTAGAGCAGTGTTTCTCAAACCAGTCCTTGGGGGAACTGGGAGAGAGCAAAAACTGGTTTGAGAAATACTGGTGTAGAGTATCTGAATGACACTTGACACCCTGGTCAAAGGTGTAAATCGTAACAGTATCCAGTCATTATGAGAGAGGGTACGGCTGTATTATGGTGTGGGGGGTGAAGCGCATGTTGGGGGTGAGCGGGGGGGGGGGGAGTGACATGAGGAGCAGTGAGTGTGAATTTCAGTAGCAGGCCACCCCAGCTTTGGTGTTTCCTGACTGGACATGACCATTGTATGTGTAGAATCCCCAACCCCACCAAAGTGATCAACTTGTATCTACAACCAGGGGGGTTTCTAAGGGGTGGCGAGTGCTGGTAGTAAAAATGTGGCCACCCCTCTTGGCACCCCCACATCAAGATAAAAGCAATATACGGATTATTTTATAGTGGGACCATGGAAAACACACAGTACAGTGTGGCCACGCCCATAAATTTAATCCAACCAATCCAACTTTTCTGCAGGTGTCACTCTATAAAGTATGTATTAAACCTGACCGCAACGATACTTTATTATAAATAATGAGCTGGAGCTGCCACTTGGGGGGGGGGGGGGGTCACAACTGCTATGACATGAAACCTTCAGGGTCTGAACATCGACAAAATATCAGGCGCAGATCGTGACGAACCTCCATATGGCAGTCAGGTGCTTGGTACAATGATGTTGACATAATGTTGGTATAATGTTTTTGATAAGATTAGAATCAGAATCCCCCACCAATGACAGAAGCGGACTGCTTGGCTGCGGCCTGCACTTTGATTCCCGTCCGACCTGCAGGCAAAATGGCAGCCGTGTTCCGCCATGGAATTCCGACAATGCGACTAAGAAACGCAAAGGGAGCACAGGACAATGCCGGCGTGCTCCCGCCAGGTGACAAGTGGCAGACAGGGCATCGCCCCACCCGTGCAGGGCGGAGGGGCGTTTAGGGGCGTGTTGGCGGCGACAAAGGGAGGTAGGATGGGGGTGAGTTTCAAAGGATGGCGGCCATGTCAGCATGACGAGGCTGGGAGCGGGCAAGGGCGCACGATTTTACCTGGAAATACCGTGAAAGTCTTCCATGCCACCAGGCAAACATATGAATATCGTGCCAGGGCCCGACCTGAGATTCTGACATGGGAATGCTGGCTTCTGAATGTGTGTGGGGGTGTGACCACACTGTTTCACTCAGGTGCTATAAATAGCAGATGTAAGTGTACAGTAATCATTCGTGGTGATGGCTTCTCGGAACAGAGGACGAGAGAACAGGATTGCTTCTCCTTGCGGGACTGATCTGTCAAGAAGTAGGGAACCATCAGTCTTTAACAGTGCACAGGAAAAATCCCCCCCTCCCTCATGCCCCGCTGGATCCGGTTAGACCAGGTGTGGACAGGTCCGCGACACAAAGAAGCAAGGGCTTCCCCGCCATTTTGTGCATCGGGGAAGGTCAGGTTACACAGCTTTTGTGGCTGAACTTAATCTCACGTTTGATTGGTGGCCTTGACCTGTAAGTCTGTCTCTGAGTTCTCTCGTAACCCACTGAGGTATGAGGTTTGCGTGACTCCTGCTGAGCTACTTAAGGAAAAATAGACAACTTTACATTTTTTAAGTATTTTAAGTAATGATGGAATTCTACAGATCTGGGTTGTTATTCTGGTTATTTTTACTAATGTATGGTCATTTTTTACATTTCTGGTGATATTTCGGGTGGTAATTTATAGGTTTCTGTGTCCCCTTTAAGGTTTGCCTGTCACTGCTGATGTGTGTGCATGTTTGTGTGTGTGCGTGGGTGGAGTAGGGGTGTCTCAAGTTTGATCGAGGAGGCGTGACGAGGGCGAAGGGGGGGGGGGGGGGGGGGCGGTGAAACCTGCGGCCGCTCACCTGCAGGAGGACAGATCACCTGTGAACGCCGGCATACCTCAGCGCTGCGGCAAAGCAGCCGGCACCCACAGGGACGGCCATCAGCAGGATCGTGTACCAGCCAGGCTGGATGCCCCCCGTAAACACCACCACCAACCCCCGGCCAGACCAGGTAAGATGACCGCCGTCCCGCTGTCATTTTCCGGTGTAAAAGCCAGCAGAGTTGTGCGGGAAGCTGGAGTGACTAGGCAGGGGGACTCGGTCGTGCGTAGGTCACGCCGTAATGGGCTTCTGTCTGCTTGTGCCTGGCTTCCTCCATGCCGGAGGCTGTCCTTAAGGTGTTCTACTTCTGTTCTGCTCTGTTTGCTGCCAGCGTTCACAAACACTCTCACATACTGTATAGTTTGACAGGCACTAACCTAGCTGGAGCACTGGGGTTCAAATAATATATTTGCTTAAATAAACCAATTACCTTCTGAAAAATCTTTAAACGGCTGCTCCTAGCCCCCACCCCCCTCAGGAGCTGGCAGACCTACATGTGTACGAGTTTAATGTGTAACGAATGGCAGCGAAATTCTTCTCTGCCCTTGTCCTCTGACCTGGCAGTGTTCTGCACTAGAGGATTATGAAAGAGAGCAGGAACGAAGGCTTCTCTGGCTCAATCTGAGCTCCGCTATCGACCTCAGCCCTCAGCTGCCGAGATACCACACGAGCCTGAGCGTGTTCGCCTAAACTCTGTCACCGCCGTGCTGGGAAACGACAAGCTCGGTGTGGACAAGAGTGTTCGTGACTTTGCTTATGTTTACCAGAGCTTTCAAAACCGATAACAGAGGGAAGCAGTGGAGAGCTGCCATATAAAGGCGTACTTAAACGAGGGGAGGACAGCTCTTGCCTGTGGTGGTATTGGGGAATCCAAAGCCACACATACTCCATTGATCACGTTAATTCCGGCCCCTACACCACATGAACAAGGGCTTCCCGTTTCTGGTGAGACGTTGGAAAAAACGCTCCAAGAGAAAAGCTGCACGGGGAGGAGGGGGGGGATCACTGAGGTTTGGAAACACGCCGGCTGAAAGGTAGCAAGCGGACATTTGAAAGCTGCGTCCGACCAAAGAAAAACAGGGGCGTGTGGCGAATGGACTGTCAAACGGACTCCTAAATCGCGAAGGGGGTTGCAGCCTGGACACAGCGGACTTCTGCTGCCCTGGTGAGTTTTACCTAAGACATCGAACACACCGTCCAATCAGCATCGCTGAATTCCACTGTGGCACAGTCTCCTGTTCTTGAAATGGAATTAGATAGACTTGGGCGAAACAAACAGGTTACATGTATGTATGTATTATATGGAGTACCTTCAGTAGATCACAGACTAGACTAGATCTGGGGGGGCAGCATACAGAAAAATCGGCAGGTGAGGTCCTGTGGTTCTTCAGCGGCACTCTGGCTGCACAGTCTACACTCGACACCCATGAGCTGCTCGTAACCTGACCTGTTCCATATTATCAGCGGGGGGTTGTTTATTTTTCAGGCTAGGCAAACCTGCCACCCGGCTACTTTTAGACCGTCCCTCCCACAGAGCCGGACGGCCAATCCGGAATGACCTGGAACGGATACCTTTCCTGTCCAGATGTTCAGGCATTTTTAATCACAGTTGTTCTTATAATATTATGAACCTATCAGCCGCCAGGTAGTTCCTTTATTAAAATCTCATTCTGAAGATATCCACACACAACAACAAATGAGGGAAAATCAGTAAATGTCAACAGAGTATGTATCCGCAATCCGTGGTAGTTCCTCCTGAAATGACACATACTGACATACAATTGGAAAATGATGAACTTTCTTAAACAAGGATCCAAATGACGACCCCGGCCACTAGTCCTTACTTATACTCCCGCAGTCCTGAGCTCATTCTCTATGGCCCACGTTTAGTCCCACACAGGTCCATTTGGATGCATGCCTTTGTCCTGAGCCTCTTTTGGCAATTACCTCTAATTAGTCAGCTCTCCAATCAGTCCGGTCTGTTGACTTCGTAGACTGCAACACAGCCCTCAGCCCTAAAAGGTAGGTACCCTATTTAGACCCGGGTTCTTTGTTTGCAAGTTAATTTGCTGATGGTGAAAGCGGAGCTTTCTAACACTGGTGTTTTTTAGGGAATTTGCTGGACTAGAATCCACAATATAATGAGAGTAAACCACGAGGTGATGGGACCGGTCACAGCAGTAATCCTACAGTGACATATGTAATCAAACACTAATTATTACAACGAAAGAAAGGTGATAATTGGCTCTGAGCCTGTGAAATGAAAAGTGCAAAGATAGGATTCCTTTGAGGCCCACAGGTTCCAGAAATAAATAAGGGACCAGAGCTTTCAACCTCACAGGGCAAACTGACAACACTCATGGGGTAAAGTCTCTCCCTATATCCCCCACTCAAATGGGACAATGCTATAATTCACACCATAGTGCAACACAAAACGCAAGATGTTTACCGAAATCCAAGGGCTCTAGCATGATGCAGGCAGACCAAGAAGACCCACGGCATGAGGCCAAGCTATCTCCGTCAGCTTGTTTTATTTAATGCCTTTTGTTCCTTTTAGACCTCCAGTTATGGTAATAATATCTACACAGTAGCCTGTATTTTTAATTTTCTAACTTTTTCAAAAGAACTCCAGTCTTTTAAGTGGAACAGTTCATAGACAAAGAACATAGGTGTGTTTCTTGGCTTGCTGTTGGATTTTTGACAGCCATGCGCCTCTTTTAATTTTGACTCAAATTACAGAGGACGACACACCAAAGGGGCTTTTAAGCAAACACAAGCTGTCATTAATTTGTCTGCTCCAATCTAGACTTTGGCATTTGACAGACAAGCAGGGAGGGGGGGTTCATTCGTTATGCTGTCTGACCCCACCCAGCTACAGTATACTCCTTTGGTGGTGCAGTCTGGACGGGCTCCTCATTTTGCAAGTACTGTATATGCCACTGTCTGTCATCTTTTTCAAATACATATATATTCATCATAAAACTTTATCTCCACTATCTATGTAACCAACCAGAATTTCCGACATTTCAAATCGAATGTTACTAACTGTAACTGCTGCATAGGTCAGGCATAAACATGCATGGGACTCCCCCAAACCGAGAATCAAAGGAGAGAGTAATTTATGAGCTCTAAGTAGCCGATGGATTTGTCCTACTGCTGTATTTTGTAATCCTGCCTTCATGGAAATTAGTCTCCACCCCCATGAAAGTGCCTTCTACTCAGGAAAGCCCAGCTTCTTCTAATGACTGGTTCTAATAAATATGAATACCAGCCGTGCAGGAAGATGGTGAACGGAACGGGAGAATGACAGAATTTACGTTCCCTTATTGCAGTGTTTCTCACCATTTAAATTCCTTAATGAATTCCTTTGCTATTTAAATCCTAGCCTGTGACCGTACGTAGAGATTATGGGATATTTTAATTATCACGTCGTTTGAGCTCGTTCTCAACCCAAACAGGACATACCGCCGTGCCGGAGAGAATGTCACCCTGACGCACATGAAAACAGAAGTGTTGGTCAGTGGTGTATAATTCCCCGCACACCCGCGCCCTTTCATTAGCTTCCTGTCGGCCCGTTGGTTCCCCGCCGCCTCACAGCCACCACTGTCTCTGTTTTCTCCTTGACGCTCAGTTTCCTGCCTACTGCATTTTGATTCCATCAGATTTCCCAAGCTTCTGGTTCCTTTAATTTCCTGCCAGTGCCTGCTTCTGCCTGCGGTGGGAAAGCGGGCCAAATGGCTGCAGAGGTTCATGTTCTCCCAGTGGAACCTCAGCAGGCCGTTAGTTCAGGAAAACAAATGTCATGCTTTTATCATCTGATACGGAACCAAACGTAAGGGTCAGACAAGCAGCACATCACTGTTGCAGCCTGTCAATGATACTTGACGTTAGACACATTTCAACCCTGTTGCCTTGTATATGTAGATATATGTCTCCTTCTTGCTGAATTTGATGTCAATTATTTTGAAAGAAATTGAGACTTTTTTAAGTAATCGCAATTGCAAATACTTTGTTGCCTGTATTTTTATCCAAAGGTGTGTTGAATGCACATGTGACATTAAGCAATGTTTATGTAGGGTATTGCCCTGGGGAGATGAATTGAAGGGGTCTGAAACGATGGACACTTTGGTTGCAGCTCTGAAAGCCCTGTACGTTGGCGCAATCTGCATGAACTAGCCAATGGCGAAGCGTTATCATGTCTCATTATTCTGGAGGATGTGCTCAACTTCAGGCTGACATGAGTGTGTGCATGAGAGTCTGTGAAATAATTAGCCTGTGCACACCACACGCACACACACACACACACACTGAGGCTGTGCTGGCCAATTCCAGTGAGAGGCTATTACGCTCTCTAAGTGACAAATCACACAAGCACTGCTGTAATACACTTCTGTGAGCACACTACACTATATTACATAAATACATAAACAAAAAAGGAGAATGTAAACAGATTACACGGTCTGCTTACCCATCGGGCTGCATATACACAATCATTTTCGTGATTCAGGGACAGCGTGCAATGATATTTCCACTTGGAAAACAGCACGCATTTTCACTGTATATAAATATTTGTGCATATTTTTTATGCATATAAACACACATAAACAAATGAAAAATCTGATCGACGACACGGAAGGGAGAAAAAAATCCCAAATCTGTTATCACACATGAACCCCGCCGATAACCAGATTGCATGAAATCTGATTTATCTCCAATTGCCTGACAACCATGCGCAGTGTTGTCCCATGGCAACCTTAAAAAATGAACATTCATCAGGCTCCTATTGAGCATTGCTGTTCCCATAGCAACCAGGAGAGAAGGATGGCTGGTGTGAGAGGCAGAGGGAGAGAGCAGGAGATAAAGGGAGACAGAGTGCATGTGGGGGAGGCTGTTTTGGCCATGAACCACCACTACCCTCAATGTTTTCGTTTCATTCATGCATTTCTCTCTCTCTCTTTCTCTCTCTCTCTCCTTCTTCCCACAGGTGTCCATGGCGATGACGGTGACTGCGTGACGATCAGGGTGCCTCTTCAACAGCCCTTCCCCTTCTGTGTCACCGTCCTATCCTTGCATGTACTCCCCCCCCCACCACTCCACTCCACCCTCCCTTCTCCTCGCACAGAGACAAATACGAGCCCCCTCCCTACTCATTTTCAACCAACCTCCCCTTGTCCCTCCCCTTCAGAAAAGACCTGGTCGGGGACTGAAGATCTGCGACAGAGCCTCTCATTTGTAATCAGATGAAAGCAGAGATAATCCTGAGGCTGACTCCATCTTGGTTCCTGCTGTAGCAGGAGGAGGAGGTGGAGACTGAGAAAGGGGAGGGTCGATCAGGAGGTCACCTGTGGATGTGAAGGAGGAGGCAGCTTTCTGTTCCTGCCGAGGTCCGGGAGCGACGTGGGAGGTCTGCAGAGCTCCGGGGACGCATGAACTCTGAACCAAGAAGCCAGAGAGATACAGTGTGAGGAGGGGGAGAGGAAGAGGAGGAACGGGCCTGCTCTGTACTCGTCTTCTCAGGTAAACTGCCCACGGTGTCGGGGGATCTTATTGTTTAGTCTGAGCGCAGGGCAGGTTGATGGGGGTTTTGCTTTGGGCCTGAGTAAGATATGCCGAGTGGGAGGGAAAGACTCAGAATCTCCCCCAGGGGAGAAAAGGGTGGGCTGGCCCTGAGAGGTTTCTGTTCAGCCGCCTTCCTGTCCTGTTATGCCCAACCAGCTTAAGGATAATTTTTCCAGTGCGCAGCTGGAGCATGGGGGTGGTGGAGGGGGTCGCGCTTGTGGGCTGAGCGGATTCGACTGAGATGCACCTGGTAGGTGCAGGCTGACCTTTCTGAAGTCCACACTCTTGTGCTGACAGTACTTGAGGTAGCTCCTTATTCCCGGGGCTGTGACATCAGCCTATCTGCTGACCTCTCTGTACGCGTTTTTTAGGGAATGCCTAAAAAAAATACCTAAAGTGGTAAATCTATTTTTTTGCTTTTTCTTATTATGGTTGGTGATGGTCTTCACATCGAAACTCTGTCACGAGCGCAGCACAGAGACACAGAACATTGTTCCGTTTATGTTAAACGGCAGTAGTTCCCTGTTATCTGGATCAACCTGAGAGCTGCATTAATGACTTCTGTTTATAAAATGTCATCAGAACAGAAGCCATTGTGTTTTTTAATGAAGTAGATTTCCTACGTAAAATGACATCCGTTCATTCAGAAGCCATTACAAAATCTTGTGAAGGTACCTGAATGAAGCTCTGTGTTTGGCTAATGCTCTTGATCCTACTCTGCTTTTGAAACGTCATGCGACCGGCGTCTGGGCTGAGAACGACACTGCAGGTTCTTATTAATGAGCATTTCTGGGTGAACTGAAAAGACAGACAAGCACCGTCACGCCGCACCACCTGACATGACAACGGCGAGGATAAACGCTCCCGCCAGTCACGGTTAGCCTGAGCACTGCTGATCCACCAAGCGAATACCTTCTCCAGATGCGCAAGGAGTGAAAAAGTGGCCTGAGGCCTGTTATATTATGGCAGCGTTAGTTAAATGGACTGTGGGGATTAATCCTGGGTGGGATGCATTGTTCCTTTGTGCTGGTTAAATGGCTGCTTCACTGAGGCTCTGTGAAGCTAATATGCTGGTCAGTATCAGTCATTGTGAGGGTATCAGTCATTGTATGGGTGTTGGCTATTAAATCAGGTAATGTAATGTTAATGAGTCAATCGTGATAACGTGGATGGGTGTTGGTTCATAGGGGTGTGGCTTTAAAACAGGGTCAGCTGGTCCTAATTGTTTGGTTTGCAGGTTCTGAGGGGGTCTGGCTTTCAGTCTGTTGGTGCACTGGGACGGGTGTTGGGAAATTAGGCGTTTTTAAGAAAAGGTGCTATAGAAACAGGACAGGACACATCCCTCCGCCGCGGGGTCGCCCACATCCCTCAGCTGCGGGGGCGCCCACATCCCTCAGCCCAGGGGTCGCCCACATCCCTCAATCAAAAGGCAGCATAACACCAGTAGCTGATGGATCGATATGACCTCCTCAGAAACAAAAACATCAGTTTGCTAACCTTTAAACCACTGTATTTTCGAAACAGCTGATTCATGTGGATAACATTAGCAGTCTCTTTAGACGTGGACAAAAATCATATGTTATAAGGTTAGAATAAGGTATCGATGGAAAAGCGGTTGCATCCAGAGGGTATGAAAAGCGTCATTACTGCTTTCCCATGTGACTGCAGGTCACTCGCAATCCAGCCCTATTACAGTATCACAGTAAGTTTATACAGGTGCAGATGTCCCTATATTCTATTGCTCATGACCTCCGGCCCTCTGCCTGGTAGGCCTGCTTGAGCATCACATGACTTGGGCCCAAAGCACTGCCCCTTGTGAGCAAATTGTGAATGTCCTTCCACACGGAAGTGGCCTGTGCAAAGATGGTCATCTGCACATGCTGCACAGGGCTGTCAGCTGTAGTGAAGTTTTTATTACTCATAACTTCCCATTAGTGTTTGGAGGTTTCATCACGAACCTCGCAACTGATCTTCTGGGCCTGATCTCCAACCAGGCCTTCCTGACCAACCTCATAGCTGGCCCTTCATTAACAGTCCATGGCCGCTCCCTCGCTTCCCAGGTTGTGTCTAGTGGGGAGCCTAAATGCTCTCCTGCAGAAAGCTGCAGAGCCCACATGTTCTCCGTCGATCTTACAGATCAAATTCCACTTAATCAGTGTCTTATACATCTCTCATCCTGTGCTGTGATGTGGGGTCTGCACATATTTCTCAGCAAGAGCCAAACAAGGATCAGGGCAAAGCATTTAAACTAAGACTGAGTGGCAGCTGGTCTTTGTCCTGCCTTGTCATGCTTTGCTGAATATAAAATGTAACCATCCCTTCTGAAAGACACCTAAACCTCAAAGGTATAAAATGGTGTGTAATATAACACAGAAAATAAAGTTACAGGGAAAAACAAGAAATGCTTCTCTGTCTTTTCTCAGTGTCCCTCCTCATGGCGGAAAGCGGGTGTCCTGCACCTGACACCCTCCCTCTGGAGGCCCTTGATGGCGCCCCTCCGAAGGAGGAGCTGTGGAAGAGCACAAGCGCCTCCTCCGCACACCTGAGGCCCAAGGAGAGTGGGCTGGAGCCACCGCAGGATGGCTGCCAGGGCGGGGCTTGCACCCCGGAGGTGGCAGCCCGCCGCGATGGGGCGCGGCCACGCTGCTGTGCCGGGCCACTGGGGGGGGTGGAGAACCACCGGCCCTGTGCAGAAGAAGGCCGCAACCCGGCATGGAAGGAGAACCACGTGGCTTCAGCAAACAACATGGACCAGAGAGGAGACCGGCTGGAGCCGGCCAAGCAGCCTGTGCAGCGCAGTCACTCAGACAGCCTGCATATCTCCAGGGAGACCCCAAGGCCCCAAGTCAGGGAGGCGGGCTTCCCCTGCCAGTGGGTGAACTACTGCAGCCGGGAGACACCGGGCTGCCCCTCGCTAGTGTGCAAACAAGCCATGCAGCTGCAGCAGAACAACACCGTCACTGTCTGCCAGTGTGGCGGCGGCAGCCCCGCCCACCCACTCAGCAGTGTCCAGATTTGTGTGCCCAGCGCTGGGGAACTGGATGCCCCGCGTGTCGGTTGTGGGGAGACCTGCTACGGCCCCCATGTACACGCCTGTAGCCTGGGAGACGCGTGTGCAGCCTTCTGCCACCACCTGCCCATACCCGCACCTGTGCCCCTCCCGCCCAGGCTGGTGGATGGCGAGCGTGGGGGCCAGAGGGCGCCGCATCACCACGTCGACAGGCTGGCCTTCCCCCGGCTCGTCACCTCCGTCAGTGAGACGGGGCTGGACACCAAGAGCGTGACGTGCTGCTGCGGCGGGGAGCATGTAGAGCGGAGCGCGGCCCGGCCAGGGGAGGGCAGGCAAACCCGGGACACGGGCACCATGACGACCCACTGGGACCTGAAGGATGTGGGCGTGCAGGTGGGTCAGCCCCAGTCCACCACACCGCCACACGTGTTCCCCGAGGTCAGCCTGGTGGAGGAGACAGAAGCTGAGGAGGCAGCGACCCAGAAGTCCCCAGTGAGGGAGGTGGCGTGGGATGCAGAAGGCATGACGTGGGAAGTGTACGGTGCCTCTGTGGACCCCGAGGAGCTGGGCCTGGCCATCCAGAAGCACCTGGAGCTGCAGATCAAGGAAACTGCGAGTCGTGCCGCCAGGCTGGTCCGCCAGGACACGGCGTCATCCCAGCAGAGCGGGCGGCGCAGGAAGAGGGGCGGAGGCAGCGTGATCAGCTCGCTGAGGAATCCCACATGCTGTGTCCGCTCCAGTGCGGCAGTGGACTGAGGACGGCGCCACACAGAGACTGTGTGGATGGGCAGTGGCAGCCATAAAGTGCAAAAAATTATGAGGGAAGGAGAGAGGGAGGGACAGGGCATCAACAGGCTGGCCCAGGCAGACCGCCACTGGCATCACCCACAGACACTGCCTTCACTTCCACCAGAGAACCTGGAAATGCACTGTGCTCAGATCAGTCTGTGTCCCCTTTTGCCAGACCTGCCATCCTCTGCATTCCGCATCAGCGGGCACGCCAAAATTCAGCGTTGCCCACGCCTTCGCCCACCCAAAAGACGGGATGGGAAATGGGCTCAGGCGGCTCGCCCACAGCCGACGGCGGAGGCGTGAGCCGTAAACAAAACAACGAGCCGGCCAAGCAGCGACAACAAAAGCTGAGTCATTTCGCCAACTGTACGGAAGGAGGACCGGTGGAAAAAAAACTCAGTGATGGGGATACGATGGTCAGTGCTGTTATCACGAGAGAAACCGAGGGTCTTTATAACTTCTGGTGAAAGTTATATATTGTAGCTGTAAATACCCCTGTGCTATAGGAGAGTTACTTCCCATTTTCACTTGAGTGTGTGAGAATATAATGACATTGTTATGTGATATCACTCTACCGTAAATGCTTATCTTACCATCTCATGCCCATAAAAGAATGTGTATTTATTCTAGCAACACTGTGATTAAAATGATAATATTGCCCACGCCGAGCATTAAAAAACGGAAATCTGGTGATAGACTACAAAAGCCGATATTGACCCCCTCAGTGCCGACATTGCAAGGTCATAGGTGAATTGCTGTATGAGTCGATAGCGTGTGTCACAGGCCACCTCGTACCCAGACGAAAACCACATTCCAAGCCGACTCCAAGCCGGAGAAAAGAGCCGTATCGTCACGCTGCTTTGTTAAGTCACGGCTGATATACCTGCCTGCTGCCTGCCTGCTGACACGTGACGGACCGGAAGAGCTGGTGTGTCACGAGCTGAGATAAGGGCAGGAGCAGGTCCTGTTTTAGCTGTAAGATCCTGGGCCGGTGGCAGACACATCTCCGATGGCCAGATAGCCTAGACACTCCTTTCGCTTAAACACACAGGCCTTCACCTGAGGAGAGTCGCATGCCTGTCGTGACCACGAGATTGATGGCGCCCGTGTCGTTTGGTCGCATTTTAGGCATCCAGTAGGAAACGGCGACCTTTAGGTCCTACAGAGATAATGCCCATTGTGAGTCGTTCTTCTCCTCACTTCCTGTGCGGCGGGTCACTGTTTGTGGTTAAACAAAGCCTTAGCTGAGTGTGTTCGTGAGTGTTTGTGTACAGCTAACACTGTCCATACCATGGTTCAAAGTTCACTAACACAAAGTTAAAAATAGGGGGAAACACTGGCACACAAACACACATACCGATAGCCACGAGTTTTCTAAGTAATATTGTTATAAGTCATAGAAGTGACGTATCTTTTTCAGGAACGGCTTGGCTGTCTCGCTCCCGTTCGTTTTCGGTACCTGATGTTTACACTATGTTTCGACCGTTGGTGGTTCAAGCATCAACTTCCGCCCTGAGGTTTTTAGATGTTTTTCCAGTCATGAGTTTATGCTCAGCGATGTATTAAAGCAATCAAAGACTCACTGACCCACACGTGTTTGTAAAGAACTCTGTAATGTTTGGTGTTTACCAAATCGAAGCAGTGTCTCCCCAGGAAACTCACTTTGGCGCCCAACCTATGTGGCCTCTGGGTGCTAAAGGAGTTGCTCCCCTTTCCCTCAGGACTGATCCAGGAAGATACAGGGCATGGCTTGGAGCCTCACTGGTCTGAGATCAGTACACCCCAATCGGAGTCAGCTTCCCTCAGCTAGTTAACAAAACCTGTTATCTGGCATGTCCCAATTGTCCAAGGCTCCAGAATATAATACTTTAATTCCATGTCCTTTCCCTGGAGGCAATGTGAGGGGAAGCTGCATCTACAAATCCAGTAAGCACTGGCTGGGAGGGAATTTGGTGTGGAAGCTGCAAGCCCCTGCGTCTTCACACTGCTCCTGCACTGCACCATGCTACCGGGAGTCACTGCGACCTTGACCAGCGTGTTCGCCTATGCAGCTGACGGTAGTGGGTCCAGGGAGACCATCCCATAGCATTTCAAACAGGGTTCCTAATCTCTCTGGTTATTGGTCCTCACTGCACCTCATGAGCACGAGGATGTAGTTCATGCCATTTGTCTTTTGTTCACTCACATTCATGTATATATGTTGGTTTATATATGAAATATATATATTTTGTTAAGCCACATCTAATAGTATTCTCAGGGGGCTTGTGTATTAAACCATCTCTCCAGGTGTATTTGTATCTCTTTATCTAAAATTAAAAAAAAATCCAAAATGTTCTAGCAAATCTAAAGGGGTGGTGAGTTAGCTGAATATGCTGGCTCTTCTGTCTACTGTCTGTATTCTAGTGTTGTGGATCAAAATTGATTGTTGGCTATGTATTTTGGAACTGTTTTAATTGTTTAAAATATCTATCTGAATAAAATTTACCAATAAACTCAGCAGCTGTAAACCAATTTAAATCTTTAAATCGGTTTGTATGTCAAATGCTTTCATCATTATGTGTAGAAATGGTAACTCTTTAAATTGTTTCCAAGTATTGTCGCAATAGCAGTGCCATCTAGTGGACAATGGGGTATGCGTATTAGTACAGCTTTAATAATACGATAATAACCGATCTGTTTAACTGTGCTATTAGTAACACTGATTGTTAACAAAGAAGCCCCAGGCAACATCAGCTGTACAATACAGACTGACACAGATAACACAGCCGTTGTTCCTTCAACTGAACTGTGCAAACACACTTTCATCTACTTGCTGTGTAATTACTGAGGTCATTTCAAAGCGGATTATCCAACTAAAACACATTGTGAATAAAGACTATTCAAGAATAGCTTTGCCCCGTTGCTTTGTGTCAACTGGCCAGTGGTGGGAAAAGTGCTCCATTTTTCATACTTAACTAAAAGTAAAGATACCACGATAAAATGTTGCTTAAGTAAAAGTCATCTAGTAAAATAGAAAATGCCTGGTTTTAAAGGTACTTAAAGTAAAAAGATAGTACAAGTAAAAAGTTAAAATGGTATAAAATGAAGGTTAAAATATAGCAAAGTGAAAGTAAAAGTTACAATAACGTGCAATACTCAAGTAAAGTAACATACTTAAGTACAGTAACGTCTAACAAAGTATTTGTACTTCATTGTTTTATACCTGAGTATCTGGCACTTTACTACATGCTGTGCTCTTTTCTACCCCCGAGTGGTGAAACTAGCTTCTTACAACAGCGACAGCACTGATGTGTCTAGGAATGTCCTCCAATAGTGAAGGTTCTGCCGGTAGTCATCTCTTTGTGAAAATTTTATGTACATCATTACACAGTGATGTGCTGTCATCATTAAAAAACTATAAAAAAGTGACATTATTGTAACTGCCGAAAACTGCGCGCTACATTTGAAGAAATGGTCAAACACCTGAAAAACAGGTTTGCAGACAGGATGTTGACTTAAATTCGATTGTAATCTTTACATATAATAATGACTAAAAATAACTAAAAATGTTTACTGATGTGGAGATGTTAATGTTCCATTAATATATTTTAAATTCATACATTTTATAATACAGAGGGACTTGTCAGGGGAAAACGTATGGATGGATGGATGGATGGATACTTTGAAACATCACAAGAGATCCAAATGCTGGTTATTCTTAAATACATTTACATCAGAAGAAGACCATGAAGAGGTTTAACAGACCGCACTACATCATATAATTTTTGATGAGTCTCTCCAGATGTGAGACAAAACTGGTAAGTGACTCTCGATTGACTGACATAAAATGTCCATCTTCACAGACAGGCCCATGATGGTAGGTTCGCAATGCATTGTGACTGAACAAAGTTTCGTGTGAGATAATGTTCGTTCAGTCAAACAACAGCAGAAGAGCTCGCGAGCTATGGCCGGCACAGCAGTGCCACCTAGTGCTCAATGTTTGAACTGGTAGGGTTGGAACGACTCTGAAATCTCGCGATGGCACACACCGTCGTGCTTCTAGGACGAAGTTTGACAGCCCTGTCCCACATGCTGACATTGACGGTGTAGAAGGGAAAGTGCCAGTAACTGTCTTTTAAAAGTATTTTTATTTGTATTGTATACATAGAAAATATATATTTAGCTAGTTGTCACGATGAGTTTCAACTCGAAGGTGCTACATAACGGATCTAGGTAAGAGACAGGCATTGGAAAAATATACTCTTTAGTATATTTAACATAAATGTTTTATATACTTAGAATCATTTGAAACGAACTTAATTATGTTAAATGTTCCAGTAACTATAATGGTAATTGTTATATCCGTACTTAAAGGATAACCACTGTCTTAGAAAATGTGGTATTTTAAAACTTGTGGCGCAAGGGGGTTCGAGACGTACGGCTTTGGCGGCTACAATTAGTGATCTAGTTCAGGGCAAACAATTTGATCTGAACGGAAGTTTAACCTTCAGGAGGTATAGATGTGTGTGATTGAAGAGCGGTGTGACAGCATTGTGACACCACGCCTGCTGTGTGCAGTTTATGCTTTTGGGATGCACAGCCCTACGGTAAAACATTTAAAATGCAGTGTTTCAAATGGCTGAAGTCGCTTTGGAAAAGCCCTGCGTTTCAGCACAGGTTGTGCTGCCCTCTGTGGGAGGACGCTTGTATCTCATCTGGCAAAATGATCCTTTCGGTGGTTGTCTTAGCAGTGGCATGATTTTCCCAGCAGCTCTGTTTATCAGGAACTACTAGCAGGGTGTGCATCGTGGGTTGAAACCCCTAAGACTGATTTGGTCCTGCCTGCAGGATAAGGAAACTGCTCCCGGATCTGTTGCTTCTTCTGTTCCTCTCTAGTGACCACAACTTCTCAATCATAGAAAGTGACCTCTGTTTGTGGGTCAAGGTATTTAGTGATGTTTATTTTTTTATTAGCAGAGCAGAAACAGAGAAGGTCTTTTGTGAAAATATGGCAAAGAAATAATAAGCAGGTCCTGCAGTTGATCAGTGACAATAACTACTACAGTCTAATTTGGGCTGAGTACTTAGAGCATAATTAACATTAAATATATTCAGGTATAGCTGGGCTTGCCTTGTGTCAAAGACCATGACTGACTGCTACACAATCCCAGCAGATGTGTCCCCCTAATACTATGTGCTGTAGATATAGATTTAATTAAATATTAATTGTGTATATTGAAGCATTTTATCAGTCGTTACTGTTCATTCAATTGGAATATGTTTGTTTTCAGTACAAAAAACACCGTACCACGAAGTAGTTTCCAGTAATAATACTTTCCGCTCACCACACTTCTTGGAACAGTGTTTGTTTCATTGTTATATTTGCGTTGTCTTGCAATCAGTTTAATGCTTCTTTTTTTCCATAATTTACACATGATTTATACTTTTAGTTATTTGATTCATCTTGCTTAATCGAAAATCCCATTTCATTGATTAGCCCGCAAATAATTTGACACACCCCTAACACACCCCCCACACACCCAAATTACACATTTCTGATTGGTTCCCCGTCCTTCACCGTTAGCTCAGTGTCTGGCCAGATGTCAGCTAAGTATCCGCCCAACGCCAACCCATAAGCGCTTGATTACCACATATATATGTAGCCAGTAGTGACAGTGAGTTTCAAGTTAAAGGTGCTTCAGAACACATCTAGGTAAGAGACAAGCATTGGAAATACATAGTTAGTTGTTATGTTCTTATGTTAGTATATTTGACATAAATGTTTAATATACTTGGATTCATTTGAAATTAACCTAATTGTGTTAAATGTTCCAATAACTATAACAGTAGTTATATTCATACTTGAAGGATAACTACTGTCTTAATCAGTCAGAAAATGTGATTTTAAAAACTGCTAGTGCAAGGGGGTTAGAGACGTACGGTGTGCTCAGGCCGGCTTCCATCTAGGCTTATTCTTAAATTAGCGGGAAACACCAGTACAAACCTAAACCTAAAATAAGTTATGTAGATCAGGGGTAAACCCAAATAAATCATAATTTTATTTATAGATGACCTGGTAAAAATATAAATTCTTGTAAATTTAGGTTTCAGTTGAAAGTAACATGCAAATCTGAACGCAGGTGTAACATTCAGGAGGTATAGGTGTGTGTGATTGAGGAGCGGTGTGACAGCATTGTGGCACCACGCCTGCTGTGAGCAGTTTAACAAGCTTTTGTGGCCGGGGCGAGACCAGACATGGTGCAGTTCTGTAGAATTTCAAAACACTGTAAGAATTACTTTTCTCATTAGTACTCAAACCTTCCACGGAATTCTCTTACATATCAATGTTTCTGTAACCTGTGATTGTTATTTCTCTTTTATTTTCTGTTAATCAACTAGTTCTCCTTCATATGGTGCCAGCACTGGTCCAGTATTCAAGACCACCCTACATCCCTTGTCCCCTAGCCTTAGTCAGAGGAGAGTCGCTTTAGTAACTGTTGCTACCTACTGTTCCTTGGTGGCTATCAGTACCCACTTTGGATCACAGTACTCCAACAACAAAACCATTTCCCTACCTTCACTAAAATTGTATCGCCAGTACAAAATGGAGTGTCAAGCTGAAAGATTAAATGGGATAAATGGAATAAATATAAAAATTAAATGCAGCCTAGTCTGTAAACGTGAGAATCATCCCTTAAAACACTAAATGACTGATACTCAGCACAATTTTTTTTCTAGAACTGCTAAACTAGAATAGGACAGATTTCTTTTCTCTCTTACAGTGTGCACAACCTGACATGCCAACCGGCACAGTGAACAACCTCATAGATGGATGCAGGCGCTGATTTTATTTTCTGCTTAATGTTTAGTTGTTAGTTGATTTAAAAATGTATGAAAACGTTTCTGAAAAAGCAAGTTGTTTAACAAATCTTGAGCAAAGCAGTTTGCAGTCTAAAAAACAGCAAAGCTCTAAAGGCGACGTGCACTTGATTTTGTTTAAGGTTCCCATACTTTGTTAAGAAAAGATCAGAAGGAGATACACAGGCTCAGGAAGTCGGGTCAAGAAACTAGCATTTCTACATGATGTTGTTGCTGATGTAGTACTCAAGTACTCATAGTACAAAGTACTCATGGCACTCGGTGCCTTTTATGTTTTATAATGTACTGGCTTCCAGCCTTAATCTGTACATACGGCGCGTTACTCTTACAGCTTTGCCACTCAATGAGGGAATGTTTGCCAACATCTGTTTCAGTGGAAAATAAAAAATATGGTTTACTTTAAACATTTTGGGGCAGTTTCGCAGACAAGGATTAAGCCTAGTCTTAGACTTGCTTTGCTTTTCAGTGGTAAATCTCCATTGGTACTCAAATTTAGTCCAAGACTAGGGTTAATCCCTTTTGAGGAAACAAGGGGATAGTGTATTATCTTAATTTTGAATTTGGGCATTGTGCTTAAATGATATTACAGTTGTTTTACACTATTAACCCCCTGATAAAAAGAAGAAAAAGTTCTCAGAATACATATAAAGTTGGAAGAAGAGACTTGAGACTTGACTTGGAAGCTGAATGAAAGTCTTGGGCCTTTACTCATACTCCTCCCTCAGAGACTTGACTACTCGATTTAGACTTGCATTTTGTGATCCACGAACATCTCTGGCATAAAGTAATTGCTACATTATATTAAAAGAATTATATTTAGTTGTTATTCCACTTCCCATTTTAAAAGGGAAGAGCCTTGTTTATTTTTTATTGAACTTCTGAGATGGATTATTTCAGTTGAATAATCAACTCCTAAACACGTGGCGCCCCTCGTCGCTGCACGTTTGATGTCGTACTCAGCGACCTCCTCCGGGGGCCCCCCTCCCCTCCGGATGGTGTACGTGCGGAATGCGAGTTTGCTTGTGGCCGCTATGACAGTGAGCTTCAGTGATGACGTTACAACACGGGGGAGTTCCGCCTCTCCCCGCCCCTGGGCTCTTTGCTCGTGATGGCAGCCAGCGATTATACCGGCACTTTGAGTCCATGATAAAGAGAGGATCGCAGCAGCCAAGAAGCGCAGCACCGGCGTGCCTTATTGGACCGGGTTTATAGAACAAGAGGTACGATCGAGTATTGAGTGTCGATATCCATATATTTTAGATCTGAGTCGCTATTGCGCTGCATTGCAACTCCCAAGTACTGGGACATCGTCCATTTTAAAGACTGGAGGTCGACAAACGATCGGAAGGCGAAACTGTATTTGAGGGCGTTTGGATACGGTCACCCTTAAATTGCTTGCATGACAAGAAAACTCAGTTTTGTGTTTTGTTTGATCTGATGATAATCTTTTAGGACATTCTCTGTTATAAAAAATCATCTTCACATTCCAATTAGTAAGCGTTTAGTAATTTACTGCGAGCACTGCGTGGGTCATATTTTTTGGAAGATCAGAGATTGTTGTATGTATTTGGCAAGGTCACATTTATTTCCTTGCAAGTCTCAATAAAATCTTAGGTGTTATTGTGTTGCGATCGGATCGTGGTTAGACAAATGCATCGAACTGAATCTCGACAAGAAGCCACATAAATACGTAGAATCGATCCAAAAACGGATGACTCAATATCTAATCGACATTTCCAACGGTTAGTTACGATGTAATATTTACACGATGTATGTCTGGGATGGCCGATCCCAGGTACTCCTGGTTTTTAAAGCTCGATTTTGCGCGGCATTCATGTCATCTCACATTCTTACTTCTTACCCGAGAGCCAGTCCATACATGAATGCATTTTTCACGACCAGTATCTGGTCCTTACGCGTAAGCTTCGCCGTCTGCCACCATTGTCTGCTTTAGCATCGGCTCTTGCTGCTGTGTTCTCGGCTGGATGGGTGACTGGATCCCTTTGCTAGGCTGGGACCAAAATTAAATGTCTGCAGAACAAGGGACACGTTGTACTGCACAGAAGCAGGTTAACAGTTCGGTCATCCCTTGGTATTATGACGTGCAGTAACCTGACATTATAATCACTGTTTGGTTCGGCCCCAAGTTCTGTTTTTGCGGTGGGCTACAGAAAGACTATTCATTTCTATATTTAGAAACGTTACCATCTGGTAATTCTTTAGCCTGTTGTATCACTCTTTGGTACGGGCTTTCGTAGATGTCTGTGCTAAAAAGAGAACTTACGTTCGTAAAATCTGAAGAAAAGAACTTGTAACTGCTTTATTTGTTCTCTACAGGATTACCGGGGAAATGGAAACTACCGGGTTTTTGTCGATGCGGAAGTATATATTGTTATATTCTATAAATATCACAGCCACAGCATGCGGAATGTGGTCAATGTGTGCTGGTAAAAAATGGGAAATGACATGTCTTTATACTCAAATGTCACCGCTAGTCTGGTGTAAATTACGGTATTTTCTGGGTACGCGGTAATATGAGGGGAAGTGCGAATTCTAGCGTGATTTCACCTGTAGGAATGCAGACCGAGAAACCTTTTTGTCAAGTGAAGTATCTATGGACTGGAATTTGTGCTCTGAGCAACTGCTTTCCTCTGGGATAATGCAAGTTTTCTTGACCTGAGCTATTTTGTCCCCTCTGTCCAGAATGTCAACCGTGGTGGATTGTGGGAATAATACTCTCCGGCAGTGTCTGCAGGCCCGCTCGCAGCTCGAGGCAGCCATTGCTGGAGTGACTCAGGCAGAGGCGCAGCTGAGAGACAACTCCAGGGAGGTGAGGATGCACATCGTGGCCCTGTGGGTGGGGGCTGGCATCAGTCCAGGTGGTGTGATCACTTGCGGCAGTTAGAGGACTTCTGCCCTTTGGCGACATGCGGTCGGATTGACTGCGGCAGAATGACCGCTTCCAGAAGAAATCTTTGTCCTCAGTGCAAGTTAATAAGCAGTGTGTGCTGTTGATGTCATTTATGACACCGCAGGTAAACATGTGACAGCATGTAGAGGTGTAACGGTAGGGTGTATAAGGAGCAGTCGCATGAGAATGCAGTCAGACTGCCTCAGTGCAGAGCAGCAGACAGCAGGAGGGTATATGCTGTTCTTTACTGAAAATTTCCCCTGTGGAAGAACTGAGCACCATTTTTAGTTCAGACTGTCATCGATTTATGCTATGTGGAAAATGATAGTGGTTTGAATGAGTGGTGCGAATCGTGTGGTTTCCCCCTCTGAAAGAAATCCCCCCCCAGCCTTGAGTCAGTAGCCTTAACTGCATCTCTCTTCCCTGACACGCTGTCTCTGTGTGCCTCTCTGAAGGTGAAAGCCCAGCTCCACAGCTGCATCAGCAGACACCTGGAGATCCTGCGCTCCCGTGAGGTCTGGCTCCTCGAACAGATTGACATCGTCCAGCAGCTCAAGGAGGAATCCCTGCAGCATCAGCTGCAGCAGCTCCATTGGGTAGGTTCAGCCAATGTCTCCTTGTTCATAAGAGACGATCCGGAGCTGGGTTGTATAGCGGAAATGCGTTTCATTGGCTAGGATGGCGTTTCCTGTAGACAGCTACTGATATTCTCTGTTTGTGGTATCACTCTACTTTCTGCCCTCAGCATTGAGTTGTTCTCTTACGTGTGATTTCAGCTCCTGGGTCAGTTTGATATCCTCATTCATCAACTGGAAAATTCCAACAGCTACGACTTGGCTAATCAGATCACCAGTTGCCTAGAGAAGTAAGTGTTGCCTTGCCTGTATTTCGAAGGACAGATTAGCCTTGGTTTCTGTTCCAGAATTCTTGATCGCTAGGGAACTCTGTAGATCCTGGAAACAAACGTGCCATGAGTTGCGTGTATTTTTGTTTTTTGTTTTTTTTTGCTTATTCTGAATATGATGCGGTAATGTGGGATTTTAAGTCTCAGGTTCGGACCCGTTTTTATCATGTGGCTTGGCTTGTGCCGTTTGACTGGGTGAGCTGCACTCTCACACTGTTTGTCCCGACCAGGTTGTCCACTGTGAACCTGAAACCGGAGGAGATCCCAGACATGAGCTTCCAGGCAGACGTCCGTCCTCTGCGCCAGGCGATCACCTCCTTTGGCACCATTGCCACTCAGGTATGCGTGAGGGCCCAGCTTCCCACTCATATAAGGGTTGCCAGGTAGTAGGATGCTGAGCTACTCTGAGTGGTGAGTGAGATGATGCAGTGCATGTTCTCCTGAGGACTTTTCCATTTATTTTTGATCTGGCCTTGGATGGTTACTCAACATACAATATGTCTTTCCACAGGATTTTACTCATAGTTTTGCTGCGGTTTGATACTGGCTTAGCTCCCGTGTGGCATATTCAAATATTTCTGCCGGCTTGGTAAAGGATGCATTTGGGTGACATGTTTGCTGTAGACGTTGGCTTCCCACACGCTCCCTAAGTGTGTCTCTCTCTCCTTAGCAGATGGATGTCAGTAATGGCACCCCCAAAAGCTTGAGCTCCACCAGCAGGCCTTGGCTGCACCAGGCATGCCCCATTGCTACCAAGAAACAGGTCCGTGGAGAGTCCATGTGTCATGTCCTGTAGATCAGCGCTGACTTTCCCTCTGGAGCCATGTTGTCAGATAAGATAACAACTTCTGCTCGTTTGCAGAGATTAGAGGCCGAATGCAACTCGCCGCTTGCCGATTGGCTTCTTGGCAGCCGACCTCCATCCAGTGGTCCAGTTCATTACCAGGCCAGTGAGAACCCACAGGATTGGCTGTTTACCACTGGCGAGAGGGTCCAGGTGAGCTGTGTGATGGAGGGCACTGTAATTGAAGACCAGAGCCTGTCTGGAAGTTGTTGATGTTCAAGTAGCAGTGAATAATGTAGCACGACAGAAAGCAGCAGTTGTTTTAATTAATGGTTAAACTGTTTAACTGTCAGTCCATTCAATACTTAATTCCTTTTTATTATTGTTCCCAAAAGGTGAAGCATTCCCTTGTGCCATTTGACTTCCTCAAAGCCTGGGGCCAATTGAAGGACCTGGAGGCCTGGCTGTTGAAGGAGGAGATTCCCACCAGAGAAAGGACCATGAGCAATGCCAGCAGTAGCTCCACTTTCTCCATTGAGAAGATTGACGACTCTGAGCTAAACTTCAGCATGGAAGAGGAAGAATTGGAGGAGGTAGGGGGACCGAAGGAGAAGATGGCCGAGGTGGATGAGCTAAGTGATTGGCTGGTCACTCCGATCAAGTGTGGTGAGAAGCGTGGGGGTCTGGCAGATGCTGAGAAGTGGAAGGAAGTTTTCAAGCCCTTTAACAGATCCTTCACTCCCAGCGACTGGCTGCTGAAAACGGACTGCAGCTCGTGCTGCTCCACACGTACCAAGGCCATCGAGATAGAGAACCTGGGCAAGCTGAAGTGCCTGAAGCAAAGTCCCTCCTCCACCCCTGTGGCCCCTGCCACCTTCCTGGAGACCTGGCTGCTGCAGAATCCGCCAGTTCCTGTGGAGCAGGTGTGCAAGGCCAACGAGCCATGTTCCACCTTCCAGGATTGCGTGTGTGACGAGAATTGTGGCAAGGAGGCCCTCAGCGCTTGGCTGCTGAAGAAGGAAGGATGCAACAAGAATTGCAAGCCGTCGGCCACCCAGCAGCACAAAGTGGAAGCCATTCTGGAGGCCTGGCTGCACCCAAAGCATGACGCTCCCATGATGTCCTCGCTCTCCAACTGGGTGTCGCCCTTAGCCTGTGGCCTAGAGAAAGCCAGTAGGGAGTACGCTACTTCTGAGGACCCGATCCACAAGGCCTGGGTGGGGGACTGGGTGCAACCCGAAAAGAAGCAGGCTCAACCAAGTACACAAACCAGCGTGGACTCGGAGGAGGACAAGTGGTTGATGCTCAAGAGGACTCAAGTCCAAGTAAGTACAGACTCATGCTTTTTGTTTGAGCCTCGGAGGCAGCCGGCTGCACTGGAGGGCCTGAAGACATCATCTGATGTCCTGTCTGCTTTTTAGGAGCGATATGGCCTTCCCAAAGTATGTGATCTGTTCTCCTGTATGAAGCTCGGTGGAGACAAGGAAAAATGGCTGCACAAGGAACCTATACAGGTCAGAAAATGAGTCGGAGATAATTTGTGGATATTTTATGCCCAAGGTAATTGATGCTGGTGTATGGACATGCAATGTGAATGTTCTGTGTTTCTCCTCTCCAGATGTGAAACACTAGAAGATCCTTGAACCATTAGGAATTTTCTGATTTCTGAACACGCCTTCCCTGGTCACCTCTTCAAAGTTTTCTGAGGCGACTGGACTCCTTTCATCACCCCTGGCTTTGCTCCCCCATTTCTCATATGTCTGTGGAAATTTGGTCTGTTCCCCCTTTTGGTCAGATTAGCGTGTGGAGTGGCATGGGCACCGTGCTGTGCAAACCTGGTTGCTCTGTAACAAATCTGTAGGAACTTCTTTGAATCAAAGAGTAGAGCTCTCCTAAGCTGGTGATGGTAGGAGGGGCAGACATACAATCTAATTAACCTCAATAATGGGAACAGGAGCACTGAAGGCTACCTGTCTGTGCTTAGTAGGACCAGGCTTGTGCATCAGAAAAACATTCAGCTAATGTGGAGGTGGACACATGCTTAAGGAGTTAGGCCTGAGAAATGTAGGTTTTAATGGGATTTTATGGGATGATTTTTTTTTTTTAAACAGCACAGTAACTTTGAATAAAGCAGACCAGTCACCATATCATACTTAACCAGAAGTCTTGGCACACAGTGATCGTCCCCCATTTCAATCAAATGACAACTCTGTGTCATATATATAAATTTATATAATAATATGTGTACACACAAACACATCTTCATGTTGAACTAACCCACTAGGTCCAGCACTATTTCTATGATTTATCTTGATGTGACACCCAGGTGTCTAACTGCTAAGGCAAAATTATTACTTCTAGTCAAGGTGCTTGCTGTAGTAACACAAAACAAACCCTCACCACCAACGCAGTTTTGCTTTGCTGCATTAGGTCACTCAGCCTCACCAATCTGGTGCTGGCAGCCGGGACTGTTTTACCTCTTTGTGTCCTTGCAGCTTCCTGTGGGCCGGGGAGGTGGGCGAGAGTGTGGGGCCATTATGCCGGCTTTATGGCGATAACGGGGCCGATGAAGTCTGCACAGGGGGAGGATGTTAAACTGGTAGTTCATCTTTAACATGTTAGTAAGAACATCTGTGGAGCCAGTCAAGATAAGGGCCAAGATAGAGGGCTGCATGCAATAGATTAGAGGCAGGAGGAGATGATGCAAGTCCAGTGCAGGAGATGGTAAATATGGCCACCAGGGGACTCGGGGCTCCCACAGTACCTTCATTTGCCCAAGTTGTTGCCCTGTGGGACCTCATGACTCTGATGGACTCTGGATGAAACGCATTGTTGCGTTGCAGTGTCACCTGGATTGCTGGGGCTTTGTATTCAAGTGCTCATACCATGTTGTTGTACTATAAGCAAGTCCTTACATTTCGAGTGCTTCTTCCTGCTTTGGTAACCTGTCATATTTAACTTAATAAAAATGATTAATCGATTTCCCTGCCTGTGTCTGTCTCCTTGGAGCCTTCACCTGTAAGGGTCGTGTTTTTTAAGTGCTCAATCGGAGGAGCTGGACTTTGGCAGCGGCTCCTGCACATCCGCTGACGGCGCGTCTCTGCCAGCGCTCTGTGTTGCTTTGTCGATAAAGCGAGAGGGAGCTTCTCTACATGGCTAAGTAGGCTAAGGCTGCACCAGTACAGCTTTCTGCCTGCCAGAAATTTAACGTGACTCTAATTCAGTGTCCGCATCCTTCTTATCTACTATTGGTTGCGTAAAAAGAGTGGATTACACAGCCATGCTCTGTAAATAGATACAATTTGGTAAAACTGCCATTAGCACAATTCACAAATTAAAATGAACAAAAATCAATTTGCAGAAGCAAAAGCTTGAATTTTGCAATTTCATAACCACCCCCCCCCTCCCCCAAGGGAAGGCTGACTAAATCACATGGCAACATCTAACAACCCACCCCCCCACTCATTATCAAAATACATAGGGATACTAATCTTGTATTTTAAGCACTGGACATGACAAAACTCAGTTCTTGAGACACTATTTTCTACTGTCATCAACAAAATGAGTGATGGTTGTTATCTGCACTGCATGCCTAAGTGCAGCTGCACACACTCACCGTCTCCCTGACCAATCGTTTCACATTAATAGGTCTGTCGGAATGCATTTTCTTCAGTTACCATCTTAGGATTCAGCTGAAAATATCAGAATCACAGGTATTTAAAGAGTTTCTGCTCCTCTATTCTATTACTTGATCTACAGCTGTAGCTGCAGCACTGGTAACATGAGAGTGAGCGTGCACCCTCTGAACCTCAGCCTTTAGGCCTGGCTCTTTGACAGCCAGGTCATGTGACACCAGCGGGTGGCTTCATCCCCACCTTTAGCCCAGTTCCTGAGTTCTAGCCTTGGTGATATGTGACATATAGCTGATATGGATTGCTGAACAGCCATCCTGACCTCTGGAACATAACAGCTTGTTTTGTAGGAAAGAGAACCACCATATTTTATCACAAACATAAGATAACCACTATAGACTATGCTTAATTTAGCTTGCTTTTCAAATCCGGTTCATTATCTTTGAACATTTGCACGTGATACATTTCTTTGATATTTAAGCAATTTTCGCTAATTGGGTTAAGTTTCACAAAGAAAATTACACACCGATATTTTTCATAGGTATGTTCCGTGCACAGTTGTATTTTATTGGTGTTAGTCTATTTCACCCATGTGTGGAATGGTGCTGCTCTTAAATGACTGCATTCACAGTTGGCACAGACAGTAAATTACCCTTATATACATATACAGTCAGGATATGAGCTGCTTCCTACGTCCTGACAGACGTGTCACACCAGACCTGTCCAATAAATGGAGACCCTGTGACTCCACAAAGCCGTCACATGGGCCTCATGAGCATGGAGTGGTGCCACAGCTGAGGGATTGTGGGAAAATTACTCAAGACCTGCAGCCCACTGGGTTTTACCTAAACCTTTCATTTCACAACGTTCTTTCCAAGTCAATTCATGTGACGGCAGGATGCTTCTGAATAGCCTGAGAATTAAACACCCACAATATTGACTATGAGAAGGGGCCACCCGCGAATGTGACACCGCACTATCCACATGGTAATCCATGGTAACATGGGAAGAAAGGCGAGGAAGACCCTCTCAGTTTCTTCGGCAATCAAAACATTAATTTACTTCCCCACAAAAGAGCAGAATGGCTCAAAATTAAGAACACAAAATAAGGTTAATAATAAAGACAGGATACCCCCCCCACTCAGAAGTACACAGTCAAAGGCCTATCCAGTCATGTGGTGGATGCAGAACTTCTGGTAAATTACAGACTAACACGCAACAGGAGGTCCAGTTCTTGTCATTCCCTGTTGAAGTAACGATGCAGCGAAGTGATTGAGAGAGTGAGCGAGCCAGCGGCCCTCTGCGAGCAGATGCCGCCCGAGTCCGTCCCGGGGGGGTTACATCAGGCCGAGTGACGTGCTCGTGTACCCAGGCCACCCATCGTCGGCCATCGGGGGGCGGAGCTCAGTAGCGGCTTGGGGTGCTCCCCCGGAGATGGTCCCAGTTGTTGTAGAGGGCGTAGAGTCCCGACATGGCCAGGCCCGCCAGGCCGCCACGGGCTGCCCCACGCAGCCCACCTGCGCAGACACACAGAGACAGACAGCATTTACACTGCTGCAATTCTCCAGATGCAGTGCTGAGGGCAGATACAAGACAGCTCTACAGTTTGGCAGTATTACACTCTGCTTTTAACTTATTTAAAGAAAATATTAGCAGTTTCCTTGCTTAACCAATATTTCAGTCCAGAGCTTATAACTCATAAATTTTAGTTATTCATAATGTTTAATCCCTTACATATATTATATACAGCTCAGGTTAATTGCCTTGCTAAGACTTAAAGGCTGTCTCAGGACTCAAACCAACAACCTACTGCATGTCCCATACTCTATTCTAGACTGCTAACTAAGCAGTCACTCACCTAATCTAGAATATCAGACGAAAAGTACGAGCAGCAGGCATCAGCAGCTAACAGAGCAGCCAACCCCCACGGCGCCAGTGGCGATAAGAGTGACAGGGGCTGCCTCACTGCGATCCGGACCCACACCCAGAGACAGGAGGCCGGTGATAACCTGTCATGCCTGCAGCAGCCATGCCCCCCCCCCAAACACACATATCATATACATGTCCTAACAAGCTAAAAAGTAACAGGTTTTACCACAATGTGGTAAATAAAAACAAACACACACACGCACAAACAGCGTCAATTCACCGCAAGCTTCCTCGACACTGACATCAACATCAGCCATTTTTAAAACCCCGCAGCAATAATAACGTCCATGCCGAGTTACACTGTATAGTGACAGCTGACCTGTACCTTAATCCACTTCTGCAACCGACACCAGAATTGAGCGTCAACAAAGAAAACATTAAGGGGGTGGGCAGGTATAAAGCAAGCAGACTGAAAAGAAGGATGGACTGAACATGAAAATTAATCAGAGTATTAACGGAGTATTAATCAGTCTACCTCGGGTAACTGACCCCAGGAGTAAATCCTGGAAGCCAACCAGCACCTTTAGATGTAGAAAAGAGGAAACACAAGCTAGGCGTGAGCTCTGAACGGCTTGGCGATATACCCGACAGCCTGTGAGGAGCAGGCCAGCACCAAGGGAAAACCCAACAGCCAGGCCAACACTAAGGATTTCTCGGGAATTTTAGTCATTCACCAAGGTGTCACGCTCTTGAAAACACAGCCTTCATTCAAAAACCCCAGACCACAAAAACAAAAATACAACCTGACTGAAAACAACCACATCACAAGCACCACTTCAGCTAGTCAAAGGCACCCTAGAATTCCCCAGTTTCATTTCCACAAAGATCCACAGATGCATCTTAAGCTCGGCATGTGTATAACATGCCCAGCACATGACTCTTGGCTCATTCTATATCATTACCTATTTACTTACATATTAAATACATTAGATACATACTGGATGTGACTATTGATGACATTTTAACTGCTTATCTGACTGCCAAACTCCAACAGATCTGAAGTAAGCATCACTTTAATGTTTCTTGGATCCTGAACATAGTGCTCTCAAAGTTGTGAGAATCTTATTACTTAAAAGGAGGAAACAGTGCAGGTCCGGGGAACTTTATCCATTTCTGTTGGCTGTGTTCACAATGCTGAGTTCATTTCCTCTACAAAATTCAAGGAAATGTTTGGCCTGCCCTGACACAAAAATGCAGCTCAGCACTCACAAGCTTCTATGGCATTTTTGTTTGTCCTTTTATTGCAGTAAAATGCCCCAAAGGTCATGACACTTCAAAGAGGCCTGACGTGTTGATACCAAATCAGCAAACGTAAAGCCTCTGAACCCAAAAGACGTCATGGAAAAAAAAAAGAACCTGATCAGCAGCAAATATGGAAAATAAAGATCATATAGGCTGTTTAGATCCAAAGCATCCACACGAGCCCACATGGACGTGTTTATGTCTGATACCTCCTCCCCGTCTGCCCCTCACCTGTGGATTTGTACAGCATGCCTGTGAGTGTCCCTGCAGCCACCGTGTTGAGGTCATCCTCGGCCCCCCGCGCCTTCTCGATCACCACCCCAAATGCACTGTACAGCAGGGCTAGAAGGGCAGCGAGAGGAACACATGGAGGTAAGGCCAGGGGATTGGGGGATGACAGACCTCACGGAGCATGAACGCGCCCACGCACATGTACACACACACACACACACACACACACACACACACACACACACACGACCCATGAGGGTCATTACAGAGCAAAACAGTAAGGGAATACTGGCAGCCTGCTGGTGGACCGGCTTCATGCCAAATCTGCTTTTTCGAGGTGTGTGGCCTGAAACATGAGCATAAAGGATTGTATCCTCTTATAATGATGGCTTGGAGTGACTTAGCGCTTCATCCAAATCGACTTTACAGCCTCTAATCACTGCTGTGCTATTCGGGAAGACGCCCGAAGCAAGCCAGTACTGAGTCAGTGGCGAGAACATGGACAGGACCTGACAAGGAACACTTCACACACAACCAGCTCGTTGTTCATTGTTGTAACACATATCCAAGATGACGTGGTGGGCGGTCGGGGGTCACGGCCACAGACACTCACCTAAAGAGCCAAGCGTGTTTGCCCACATGGCTCCCTGCCGAGTGACCAGGTTCAGGATCCTGAAACATGACAGGCAAACGCAGTGTTAGGACACAGTAGTCAGACCGGGGAAAGGGATACACTCTACATGAAAGAGCCACACATTAGCACAGCGGAGTGTGTCAAGTGAGACACACACTTCCCTTGCTGTGCACATAAAGGTGATGATACACAGGGCAACTTTCCCATTGAAAATAGGCAATGAATTTCTATCTGGACAATTATGATCTCAACTGGCAAACTTTGAGATCTTCCAATCAGAATGCAAGCAGCTGATCTTGTGACCAACTTGGAGGTTCAGAAAAATTCAACAAAAATGGTGGCCTCTTAGCGGCAGTGGAGTGTCTCATGTCATTTTACGCTGGTAAGTTGTCACATGTAAACCCATAAGGAGGAATTTGTCTCATTTAATGTCTAAAATGCCACCAGATGCCTGATTTTGTGTGCTCAAGCTGAAATTTAGAAATTGAATATAGGTGGCAACTACATATGTTTTAGAGCAGTGGTACTCAAACATTTTTGCACCGCGACCCAATTTTTACCGCTCATTCGCGACTCTATATGACATAAGACCTTGGACATTCGCGAGGTTACGTTGCAGGACCCACGTATGTTTGGTAGAGTCACCAAAAACGGTCATATGTGCTTAATACATTGCCTTTAAAAGTGTTTATAGCAAATGCGTCTCCAGAGGGAAACCCGGGACGCATTTGCTATGTACGTAAACATTAGCCTTTCAAGAAATTATCATTTTTGTGCGTTGAATTGACATTAACTTGTACTTACTATTACAAAATAGTAAATTAACTATTTTCTAATATTTATGTAACCATTAGCATTCCTGCTACGAAAATTACTACGAAAATTAAACAAACACTTCTGTAGGATTTTTCAAGGATTTCGCAGATGTGCAAAAAGATCACGGATGCAAATAAGTTTGGGTCCAATTAAATTTTCGCAGAAAATTCATGAATTTGTGAATCACGAAGCGCAAACGCACAAGGGCTTACTGTATAGCTTTAAATTAACGCTATGATCAAGCACACAGTGCACTCTGCAATTTACGCCAATCAATGTCTATCACATAAATCTGATTGGATGTATAAGGGAATCTTAAATTAAGCATCTGTGGTTTGCCTTCTTGGATTGGTTGAGTGTTTTGCGTTAAACCTTTGCAGACCCGTTTATATGGGTTAATTCTAGGACTGGGGCTGGGAAATCTGATCGTGAATCAGCATAAGAGCTTGCTGGTTTTAAAATGCTTACATTAACAGCAGCCTCGTGACCCTTTCAGAACTTGGGGTCATGACCCATGGGTTGAGAATCGCTGTTTTAGAGTTTTGTGAGGGGAATAAAGAACAAGTCACTGAGTCAGGAAGCAGAACTGATCGTCCACCCACTTGCAATCAGCAGCATTCATATGATACGGTAATCCAGCAGTCTTTATTCAGCCAAGAAAACACATGAGAACACCTGATTTGACTCCTATAAACAAAAGTGCATGGCTGGATTGTGTTTACACTGACCAAGGAGCTACAACCTTTTATTCTGCTATATGTGACACTTAAGTAAAATAGATGTTAAAGCCAAGACAGTAACAGCTGTAAAAGTTTCAGTATCCATCTTCGCGGTGTCCATCTCCTTGGCAATAGATTTGCTCTTCTCTGATTGGTTGTTGCCAAGTGTCCGTTGCCATGATTAGTTGCCCTGTCTCTTACCTGGTTGCTCGTTGCCCGGCAACGTTGCTCAAAATGTTGCCCTATGTATCATCACCTTTAAGAGAAAGCATTAGCAGGCTGATGGGAACACCGTGAGCTGGGTGGCCGCGCTGACCCCGGCTCCATGTGCGAAGCACCGGCAAAGAGTCAACACAGGTGTGTTTGGTAGCTCACTGGTTGAGTACGGGGGAGGATATCGAGGCCGGACATGGTACTGAGAATGTACGTGACAGGCTGACAGCTGCCAGCGACCGTCGTGACCTTGGGATTTGTAATCACACAACCCAGAATGCTGACTGCTGAGGATTCACTGAGGTCAAACTCAAGCGGGCTGCCGGTCTTGAGTAATGAACAACAGCAGCCCAGCTCAACGGCCTGTGTAAATCAAGATAGTTTTTGTTCTTCTCTGTTACACACTAAACACTGAACTATTGGATTAAAGCCATCGAAATTTCAATACTGCTTTTTCTTAGTGCCAGACAGCATGCTGGGGAAAGGCACTGACTGGCTTAATGCTCCGAAAGTCGTAATTACAGCACAGGCTGTAATAGAATAACCTCACATTCTTTTTGTACCTCAAACACTTACTTAAATGCAGCTGCTACCTCTAAATTAAGCAAAAAGCAAAGACACACTTATGCAACCACTAGGAATAAGCAGCCATGCTTCTCACACCAGGCAGAGAGGAGCATGGGAAAAAGAGGAGGAAAGGAAGAAAAGTAAAACAAAAGAGAACTGCAAGACAAACGGCTCATCGCAAACACCGATGTATGCAGACAACTCTACTCCTTTATAACCAACTGCATGATAATCAATTTACTTTCAGTTACGCAATTCTAAAATACAAATGTGGTTGCCATGCTTTAAGCAGTGTTTCTGGCATTTGTATTCTGAGCAGATAAATGTTGACAAACTCCCCTGATGGGGTATATAACAGAAACTTAAACTAAAAACCTCTTATTAGAATTCAGACATTGCAGCTGAGGTTTCGAACCTCGAAGTAGAGAAATGCAGTTTACCATAGTTGTCAGGCTAGTGCCTCAGACTTCCTGGGAGTCAAACTAAATCACCCAGGCTTTCTGTGGGCCTAGAAACAAGAAAGGTTTACTGAAACAAGGAAACTACCAGGTAATTATTAGTGTCCTTGATTCAGCCAGCTTTCGTCATTTCAGTCCAAAGCTTATGATTCATAATTTTACCTCTCCATAATTTTTGATGCCTTACATACATTACACACAGCTCAGGTTAAGCGCCTTGCTAAGAATTACCTAAGTAGGGTCTGTCCTAGGACTTGAACCAAAGCACTGTACGTCCTGACTTCCTGTACTTTTATTACAGTTAAATGATTATCCCCGAAGGTCGCATAACACTTCAGAGAGGCCTAACATATCCAAATCAACCAAACAAACTCGCCCTCTCGACCACCACCCTGCGCACGGTGTTTCCTTTATACTCATTAAAACATGCAAGTCTTTGAGCTTAACGTGCAAGAACACAGGGAATCAAACTACACTCAAACACCCAAGTTTATCCCAATTTAGCAAAGTCACAGTAAATGACAACATTTCAAACACGGGAATGCGGACTGATTAAACTTGGGACTCAAAGGGGTTTTGTAACAGTCTTGCAACATTTGCCTCACACTGTTTCAGGCTTGTTTTCTATCCCATGACTGGTGTGGCTTTATATTAACGTAAAATATTAAAGACTACTGCGTTTAGCACATCAATCAAATGCCGGTCAATTATCACAAAGCACAGGGTCCAAACAACCACTATCTCAGACTTATATTCAACATACATGTTACCCATTTATACTGCTTTTATTTTTTTTACCGAAGAGGGACCATGCTCAGAAGTACAACCTCCCAGGTTATATTGAGGGAGTGGCGACTACTAGTGGTCAAACTGAGTGTGACGTCCTAGTCTGGTTAAAACACCCAAAGTCCCAGATGTTTCTGCAGTTTATTCCACCTTTGAAAATCTGATTTCAAGAGGGGATTCCCATCATTGAAAGATTAGAGCTATAAAACGGAATGATTTGCTGGTCGTTTTGCTAACGGGGTCACACATTAAAAAACTGGAAGGAGGGTGAGATGGAAGGCTGCCTCAGTGACAGGCGGGTCAGTACTTACTGTACATTGCGGGGCTTGGACCAGGCCATGTCGCGGGTCTCCACCAAACCCATCCTCAGTCCATTCAACGCCCCGAAAGTGGCACCTGCAAGGGAGCGTCAGAAGACCATTTTACAACAGTAGAGAAGACACCTTGTGTCAAACAACCTGCGCAACACTGCTCTCTTCTTAACTCCACCTGTTAATATGAACAATGTAAAACAGTGGACCTTCCCACATTGCACGATCTGGAAAAGTCACGCAAAATTGTTCGGTCCCCTAGGCGAGGGAGAAGTAGAAAGATATGAGAATTTGAGATACAAAGCTCACTGCGAGATCACACAAGAGGTTTCTTTAAGCACGATATTCCACGGTCAACTGTAAGTGGTATTAATGCAAAGTGGAAGCACTTAGGAACAACAGAAAGTCAGTCACGAAGGGACAGACAAAGTAAAGTAAAACAGCCTTGATTGCAACCCCATCGAACACCTTTGGGATGAACTAGAATGGAAATGGGGAGAAAGGCCTTCACATCCAACATCAGTGCCTGACCTCACAAATGTTCTTCTAGATAAATGGGCAAAAATTCCCACAGACACACTCCAAAATCTTGTGTAACTCCTTCCCAGAAGAGTAACAGCTGCTATAACTGCAAAGGGGGGACGAACTCCATATTGGTGCCTATGGATTTAGAATGGGATGTCATAAAAGTTCCTGAAGGTGTAATGGCCAGGTGTCCCAATACTTTGTCCATATAGTGTATATTTTATGCATGTCTGAGTTACTGTACTTTAGGGCTGGGCAGTTCATCGAAAATTAATCAAAACCGACGTTCATAATCTCGCCCATGCCAGTTACTTCGTTTTTTTTCCTTTTTAATTCTGTTAAAACTAAAACAAAAATGAATTCTTCTGCAGAGTGTGTTCATGTACTGTCCCCTTAAAAACACACTACCGTGTGTGTTGTCACGTGACTCCACCCCATCCAGTCTGTGACATGGAAACAACACGGAGAACTCAAACACCGAGCTGACTGAGCAATTCCGAGCAGCAGCTTGTACCGAATCAAAATGCTGTGTCCATTGTTTGGACACATTTTGGCTATTCCCTAGTGATCTGGGAGGAGCAAAATGTTTAAAGAGGGCTGCACCCCACTACTTCCTGATGAAGACCACACCAAAAAGAGGTCAGATATAAACATAGCAGAAAAACATTTTCAGCTACCAACGGAAATGCCACCAATCGGTTGTAACACTGCCGATTCCTGCCTCAGAACCAACCTATTACACACTATACATAGGGAGGGACATTTCAGGGCCGCCCTTGCCCTTATATAGGCTCTTGCTCCTTATAGTCCTCTATGAAATTATACTGACCTCTAGAGGACAGGAGTATGATTACAACCATCTGATAACAAACCAGTGTTTGTTACATGGTTTCAACACTAGTAACATACAATACAGTGGAAAACGCTTATAATGATCAACCACTTATATGGACCAAAAAGCTTGGGGCAGAATCATTCCTGTACAAATACTGTTTAAATCATTTGCTTATAATAATCAAGTAATCCGCTTATAGTGTTAATTTTGGGTCTTTGTATATATAACACATGGAAAAAATTAAAATTATGGTAATTCTTTTTTTTTATTTTTTTTTTTTACTTGCATACTTTGCCTTGCAGTAACCTGTCTGCTTCTGGCTAGCTACCTGAGGCTAATGCTGCGTGCATAGAGAACACGAACGGGAAAAAGAAAGTCATTTTCTCTCAATTACGAATATAGACTCATCAAAATTTATGATAAACTGCCAAAAACGAGCCAACGAGATGCAGCAGCGAAAATACAATAAGCTATATTTTATGTACAGTACTGTACTAAATTATTAAAGCGTATTTCAATTATACACAGTTCAATAATATAATTTTTACAGTACTGTAATTTGAAAACCCTTTGTGACACCTGTAGTGTATCTTGAAAGTCAATAAAATTCAGTAAATAGAAACGCTGTCTGTTTTATTACCTAATGTTTGTGTAATAAATAAAAAAATGTCAATTCAAAGCCAATCTGCCTCAGACATAAAGAAAAAGAAAAAAAAAATCAGCTTATCGTGATCAATTTCACCCAGACATACATAATCACTATAAAGTTTGTTTGCAAGGAATGCAAACTATTTATTTTCTACTTTTTATGGAACTTGCTTTTTACATTAAAATGTGACCTTTTTCATAAGATGTTTTTATCTCAAGCAATTTGTGCTTTGATTTCAGTTGTTCGAAATATTCAGTAAATAAAATAGAAATGGTTCATCTCTGTGTTTCCTTCAATAATTTTAAAATCATAAAGATATTCAGTGTTTCATTAGAAAAAATACCCCAGCTTTAATAGTTGAGCATGTTTACAATACAAATCCTGTCAATGAAATGAGGGCAAAAAAAACAAAACAAACAAAAACGTTCATTAATCGTAATTGAGGTAAAATGTTCAATTGATTGTGATATTGATTTGAAGTTATATCACCCAGCCCTACTATACTTGTCACCTGCTGGTAGGGCTGGGCGATGATATATCGATATTATATCGCGAACGCGCAATAATCACTAGGGCTTCAGATGACAAACGAAGCATTTGGCCGGACGCCAGCTTTTCGGTGCTATACGGACATTTATTTATGCCCATAATTCGGTAAGTTAAATATTAATGAGATGCATTTTGTGATACCCAAAAGTTAGTCATCAGAAGCTTTCGCAAAACTCCCAAAAAAAAAATCACATTTGATGTCTGATGCCTACTGGCTATGTACTGGCTGAGACAGTGGTGCCAGATTGGCTCACCTGTGATACAGCTGCCCCCGATAGTGAAGAAAGCCAGCTCAAAGCGGCCACGGGTGTTGCTGGCTCCGGTGGGCAGGATGAACTCGTCACTGTCCTGCAGTGTGGAAAGGCGGCATGACGATACGCCACACAAACATCACCATGTGTCCTCCAACACACATATATTCATCACACATAATATAGACAACTTTACTGTAAAAACAATGCAATATTAAACATAACAGCATTCAATATGCTACAAATACTTTGTATAGTTAATATAAAATACTTCATTTAGTTACAGTGCATAATGATCTACATGCAATGGACCATAGGTAAATCTGTGGTTAGCCATATTTATCACATGGTTATTTTTAGTAAATAGTCGTTTTTTGTGTGAAAATTGTTCCATGAATCGGTTAACACACACTTAATGCCTATCAATAAAAATGTTCATTAATCATGCTGAAAACAAAGGTAACCCTCAAAGCAGCTTACTTGTGTAAGGTATCTGGGATCAACATTCAGGTACGGTGACAGGGGGCTCATCCCTGTTACTGAAAAGTAATACAGCTGATTACTTTACTAGAAACAACCAGGACACAGTTTAGACGGCACTACAAACAAGTCACTATATTTCAGTTCAGTGATTCAGGAAAGGGGGGGGGTTAATCGGATTCAACAATGCATGTCCAAGTCAGGCACCTGATTAACACCCCCTAATTTATAAGATTAGATCTGGAATTTGTGCAAAGAGTCATGTCCTTGTTCTGATGTCAAAATGAGCTAGGAGAACTAGATACGCTACAACACTGGCGTCAGATTGCGCAAACATACCAGGTATGAGCGTCTTCTGGGATAACCATGTACAGAAAAAGCAATAACTCCCCTTATAAAACAAACGACTGACTGATAACACTACTGGCACGCAAATGGTACCAATATATCAGATGTTTTTCTGTACAATTCTCCAAATCGCACTAAAATTATAACATTCAAAAAATGTATGTTCTTACCCCGAACCCAGAAATAACAACCTGTACTGCCCTCCCAAGAAAAAATATAGTGATTTACTTCACCTATATTGCCGCATATTAGAGTTTTTCTAATACTGGAGATTTAATAAATATCGTGCCAATCAAGGTTCATGACTTGACAATTCAATCAAACTTACGCGGTACCCCGGCGAGTTCACTGTTTGAATACTCGGGTGATGAGCCTCCGAAAAGGCTGCCAAAACCACCCCGGGATGCTCCAGCCTTTGGTGCGTTGTTATCCATACTTAATCCTTCTGGTCACAGGTAAAAAAAATAAAATAAATAATAATGAAATTTCTTAAGTAGTGACCTAAAAACAACGATGCGGCAAGCCAGCTAAAAGCTAGCTACCTCGAGCGCTAAAAACTGAATATCCTTCGTACGAAGAGTAACCAGCTAGGCAACTACAAACTACAGACAGCAAAGTAGACAAATTGGTTTTTGTTTGTAAAAATCTATGAATGTCGTGGAAAACTAATTCGCATGCTACACCTAATACAGATTGATAACCAAAAGTCGGCCAGTCCTTCCAGTCCCTGACCTCCACAACCAACGCACTGCCGGAAAGCAGGTTACGGCCGTAAAAATATGTACGACTTTTCTTGCATATTACAACGGGGTTATTCAATTCATTGTTTTGGAATTCACGGCTTCAAATATTTAATTTTATAATACAGATAAAGAAAAGTATATACATGTGGAGGGTTACGAAAACCGCTAAACGGTTTACTGGTAATTTTGCGACAGTATGCACATGACGCGGCCCGGCATGAGCACAAGCAGCATGCGCGCACAAACACGAGAGCTCTTCTTCTCTCTTTTTAAGTGAGGTTGAAGAGGCCCCGATGTGTTGTGCTGCCACCTAGAGTTGTGGTAGTGTATTACCTTTTTTGCTCAGTGCATAATTCCGTTTTTGTTATTTAGTAGTTTTTATGTCTTTATAAATTGTCCTAAAAACATCACGAATAGTACAAATAAACTTTTCTATGGGTTGGTGTGTTTTCATTGGTACTGTAATTGCTGAAAACACAAGCAAATATGCTAACTCATGTGAGATGACATCAACTGAGTGTTTGTACGACAGAAGCTAGGCAGTAACCGCCTCTGCAAATAATATCCCCGTGTCGTTTTATGGCGTTTTTCCGGTAAATTATGATCGGCAGTAGAGAACACGCGATTTAGTTAATCAAGATTGTTATGATATTATAGTTTTATTTACATAGTTTACGTAATTGTTTTTGCAGTGTGCAAATAGGCATGCTTAGGTTTTTTTCGTACGCGTCGACAGACGCTTTGCCTTTACATTGCAACAGTTCGTAATTATTTTTGTAGTTTTAGTAATAAATAATCTCAGAGCAAATTTTTTATGTTCTGTCTGCTATACCGAAATTGCACTGAACCGTGAACCCAAAACCGAGGCTTGTACCGAACCGTGAATTTTGTGTACCGTTACACCCCTAGTAAATAAATACACACTGGAAATACAGTTCCTACACTACAGTTTGGCGCTGACAAGCCCTGAAAGTCCAGAAAGTCACACTTCAGACTGTAAACGATTGGCGATGAGGCAGGCAGGATGAGTTCCATTTATGTTGGCCTCAGCTGGGGCCCCGAATAAGGAGGCTCTCCCTGGGCCCCAGCCCTTCTCAGAAAAAGACCTGCGTTGGATCTATGTTTTCTTTAAACGCAAGGTTTATATTTTTAAAACATAACTTTAAGTTTATTTAGCAGTCAGTCCCTGAAGAAATTAGTGGTCAAGGGTCTTGCTCAGAACCTCAACAACAGAATCACTCTGCCAACACTGGGATTGTAACCAGCCAATCACAGACATAGTGTGCAAACCTACATAGCCTATAGCCACACACTACCCGCTCCCCGCAAAAAAAACTGCAATAGTGCAGTGTTGAAAATACCATAATCATATTAGGTCGTCCACTCCAGAAATAAATAGGCCTAGCACTTACCGATTAAAACCCAAAGATCTAAATGCAAGTTTCCTCCCATATTCCTGAAGATGATTTTCAAAAATAAGTAGTCCTGTATCGGCGAAACACCTGTGACGCTCCTCCCGCTTTACTGAAACAGGTGTAATAGGCCCTTGCAGTAGTCTAACACTAGATGGTAGCAAAATACCGTGGCTCCTATGACAGGAATTTAAACGGTGCATTGGGTTGAAATGATTTTGTCCTATATCTGCATCAAATTAAAATTTTTAAAACCATAAGCATATTCGATTTTGTATGTTGTCCAAATACTCAGCTGGTAGGTGCTCAAATATATATATATTTGCAGCCTAGCTTCACTTACGCTTTGTCGTTTATCATGTCCTTATATGTCGCTTTGGACAAAAGTGCCTCCTAAAGTAAATGTAAACAAGTTTGTTAATATATATATATTAACAAGGTTTAAACATTTTTTTTCTGCTAATACTTCTGTCTATAACATGATTTTTCATCTTTTAAAGAAATAAAAGAAACATGGTTACTTTCCCCTGTGTCTATATTAGCTATTTTCCCAATCGCGAAAGAATGTCAAAATGATAAGCACATTGTCACTCGTGATTAAATCGCTGTTTTCCTCGTCTCCTTTCTCTTGCTTCAGGCAAGCCAGCGGATGAGAATTTATAATTGAAGAAACTTTTTTTTTTAAACAACAGCCAACGACGGAGTCGCAAGTAAGGTTTGAAGGAGTGATATGGCTACTCGACTTTAATTTAGATGTAATCTGTCTTTAATCGGGAAGTGCATGGCTTTTAAAAAAAGATTTGGCATGGGAATATTTTCTCATTAGCCTATTGTAGTTTGCTTTGTCTAATTATTTTAAAACTTATGACTGCTATATTATAGAGTCCACTGACTGCCGATCGACAGAAATCTAAGGCGGCTTTGTCAGTCTCCTAGACGGGACCATCTTGTCCTCCGAGAACAGCGCTGCTTCCCTTTCAGCAGCGAGACTCCGGGCCTCTGAGGGATCACAGGGGACACGTGATGAAGGAATTTGTGGGAGTGAAGAAAAAAACCTCTTATTAGAATTCAGACATTGCAGCTGAGGTTTCGAACCTCGAAGTGGAGAAATGTAGTTTACCATTGTTGTCAGGCTAGTGCCTCAGACTTCCTGGCAACCACACTAAATTACCAAGGCTTTCTGTGGGCCTAGAAACAGCCCACTGTTCCACAACAAAAAGGGCATTCAAGCAAAGGAGGATGGCCTCCCTGGGATTCAGAAAGCTAACTTTAAGCCAATGAATGGATTCTGGGGGCTTCCTAAGAAAATGGCTACTGTGGGAAATAGTAGTGATGTCATTTTGAATGCATTTCTAATGTTTTTGTTGCTGGCCTCCAACCACCCCCATCCACTGTGCTCTTCCTGTTTTATTTAGATCCATTATTAGGAACCTCAGAATGCAAGGCAAAAAAAAAAAAAAGACAGGGCCCCAGTATGGCACCGTTTCCATGGAGACATGAAAACAGTGCCATGTGGTTCTGTTCTCTTTGAAATCAGGATGAACGAGATGAGATGGAGGAGGATTGGGGAGGGTGGCCCGGGAAAGGGGGGAGACGTGTAGATCAGTGGGAATTTGGGCACCTTAAAAACAAATTTGTAATCCGTCACACCGGGGCTTTTTCAAACAAAACATTCACAAGTTTGATTGAGTCTGGGCTCTGGGAAGATTTCTGTGTTGATCTGAGGCACATTCAGCAGTTCCCACAGACGCTTGTCAAGAACCGGAGTAAAAGAGGCCGCAAGAGCAGCACATTTAAAGCGTTCATGCTTCAAAGGGAGCTGAGCTGCATTGATAATTACGGGACCCTTTATTGCAAATATGCATGATATGCATGTATGTTCTAAACAGTCAAAATGCATCACATTTATTTCATGACTGCAAAATTATAAATCTGTGCGAGTGTCTGTAACCTGATGCACATTAGTATTGTATGAATTTCTGTAAAGGACGTTTTCTGACTATAATCTAACTATTCTAAATAAAATGCATTTCTGTTGTCCTGTGGCGTTTGTCAATGGGGACTGACATGAATGTATTTGTTTTTCACCACTTCTGGGGGGTGTTCCACAAAGCAGGATTTCTTGCTTAGCTGGATAACTTGTTGGATTTAAGGTAGTCTCAGCTAAATGGACTTTATCTTTGTTAATTTAGCTGTTAGCTCAGACTAACTTGAATCCGACAAGTTATCCAGCTAAGTTAGAAATCCAGCTTTGTGGAATACCCCCCCCCCCCATATTAAATGTGGTTTAATGGTAATAAGGGTGACAGCTAACAAATGGGCTACAAATATCTAGGTGGTGTTTAGTCCCAGTCTGATAGTAAGACTTCTCTTCCAGCCGTGGGGCGTTTCCTCGCTTGTGTCATTCATGAGGCATGACCGTGGAAAGGTTTTGTGTTGGCTATCTGGGGCCTGGTCTTGTGAGTGGTAATTAGCTTGCTGACTATGACTGTGGACACGCAGGTCATGGGGTTACGGAAAGAACAGTTTCCTTGGTCTAAAGTTACCCGAATTTGTGTAAACAGCCTGAAGATGATTAAAGAATGAGCGAGAAAACATGAACTCACTCATTTAGTTATTTTTGTGATAAAAATCAAGCTGAAATTTTTTGATTTGCTAGAATTAAGATCAAAGGCTGAGATGTCTTTTTGTCAGATGGGGGTTGATGGCGATGAGAAATAGTGTTGCTGAAGTTTGATATATATATATATATTTCACTGTATTATGTAAAAAATACATCTTCCATCCATCCATCCATCCATCCTCTGGGTCCCTGGGATATCAGATTTTATCAGTAAGGAAAGGCAATAGTGAAACCTAAAATTTGTAAAGAGTTTGTTATTAAACTAAGATAACAAACATGGAACAACCTATTTTAGTTTTTAGAAGTTTTAAAATTGCAAGCAATTAATCTGTAAAATGAAAAGATATGGTTTGTGCCAAAATAATCTTGTGATATGATTGGCCAAGGAGAAAGATGTTACATATCCATGATTTGCCCTGAAGTGCAATCAGACTGTATGCAAATCAGCTGGTGGGAGATCTGGGGTACCATGTGGTCAGTTTAGCTACAGTCCTGCGTTCTGATTGGCCATTGACACATACCAGGGTGGTCTTGGTTTGGCTCCTGATAAAAGTCCCATTAAGATGAATCCCACAAAATGGCAGGAAGAAGAGTGGACTTTGGACCAGGGTAATTATAGGCACTGATCAAATGATAATGTATATGTACCTCTGTAT